ATGAATAACTTTGCTTTTCCGAATATTATCAAGAATTCGCCAGCGGGAGCACCAATGAGCTACAACATCCAACATTCTCTGCAACGACACCTCGTCAGGAGCGATACGTCCTATGTCATCTGCATATGATAACAAACTTAGCAACATCATCAATTTCAATGCCACATCTTAAACTGTTTATCTCGTGAGCAAGGTCATTCACATATATTGAGAACAACGTCGGCGACAACCCACACCCCTGACGAACGCGTTCTGTTTTTAAATTACATCGGGCATCTTGTGATTATTCATTTTTTGTTTTGACATTTGGAGATAACTCCTCTACTCGGATTAAAACTTTGTAAACTTATAAATCTTTTTTGTACGTATTTGAGTTTATCTGTAGTAATAATAATTGTCTTCTCCGTGTGAATGTCATTACAGTGATATATCACCCCACTGAAGTCTTGAAAATGTTCAGAACAGTAGCAGTAGTGGTGACATTTCCGTCGTTTAAACAGCACATCTGAAGAACTGAATACTTGATAGTTAGTGGTAATGCTGTATAGCAAATTGGATGACGAGTTTAGGTTGACCGTAAATCATTCACCAACAAAAAATGAAATCGTTCACTATGACCAATTTTCTGGGTTCTTAAATCGCTCACTAACAATTTGATGGTGTCTGTCTTTCGAGCATGAAAGCTCGAACTAGGTACAACCTAAGCATTCAAATTTGACACAAAGATAGTTCGATAATTACTCTTAATGTTGGTGCATTTTGTTTTTCGTATACACAGCAATGATACCTTAAACTTTGATATGTTTATGCATCTTTACGGAAACGTAGCCGGAGCTAGACATTGTTCTGCAGGCTCATGGGCTTGTATAATGACGGAATGGAAAGATATTTGATATGATTACGCACATGTGTCTTCTATTTTACAGCATGAATTTTGGTGACAATGTGGCCTATACAAATATAGATATTGACAATTTTCCTATGAAAAAATAAAACCTGCTCACCTCTCGCGTGATAAATCGTTCACTTCCATGCTATGAAATATTTCCTGCCGTTCACCGCTCCTACGGTGCACCCCCTGGAACCACTGTCCTGCTGAGTGCAGTGATATCATAGGGTGACTGTCCTGCTGAGTGCAGTGATATCATAGGGTGACTGTCCTGCTGGGTGCAGTGATATCATAGGGTGACTGTCCCGCTGAGTGCAGTGATATCATAGGATGACTGTCCTGCTGAGTGCTGTGATATCATAGGGTGACTGTCCTGCTGGGTGCAGTGATATCATAGGGTGACTGTCCTGCTGGGTGCAGTGATATCATAGGGTGACTGTCCTGCTGGGTGCATTGATATCATAGGGTGACTGTCCTGCTGAGTGCAGTGATATCGTAGGGTGACTGTCCTGCTGGGTGCAGTGATATCATAGGGTGACTGTCCGCCTGCGTTTGCAGTGATCGCGTGCTTGCTTTGGCGGTGAATGTACGTTGGCTGTTAAAAATCTAGTCACCATTTGTGAAAGACGAACAATATCACTTAAATATTAACATTACACGGATGCAAAAGTTCTGATGGCTATTTATAGAAAGTTTTTAATTGCTAGGTTCAACATGAAGAAAGCAGTCAGCGATTATCGGCAGAACATACCTTTCACGAAGACAAATACTAAGTTTATTTGAAATATAATTTCATTTTTTTCTATGAATGATATACAGAGTTACAAAATATCACCAGTAGTAGCTTCTGTTAAAAGGGGGAGTCATTCGGGTGAAAATTGAAGAAGTGTAATATTAGTATATAAATGATATTGTTCGTCTTTCACAAATGGTGACTAGATTTTTAACACCGAACGTACATTCACCGCAAAAACAAGCACGTGATCACTGCAAACGCAGGCGGACAGTCACCCTATGATATCACTGCACTCAGCAGGGCAGTCACTCCCAGATAGCAATGATATGTTGGCCCATAGTTGGCCCATAATCACCAGTTTGGTTGGCCCATGGTTGTCAACCTGACGATGGGCCCACTTTGATATGCTCATCGGCTCCACAGTGGCCCATCATGTTGGCTCATTGTTGGGCCAACGAATGAAAATTCACACAAAACCATGGCCCATAGTTTGCCCAACGTAGTGATTTTGTTGGCCTTATGTTGGCACCACCGTGTTTCAACATTTAGCTCTTTCTTGACCTTTGTACTAAACCATGGCCCATACTTGGCCCAACGATGTGATTTAGTTGGCCTTATGTTGGCACAACTGTATTTCAACATTTAGCTCTTTCTTGACCTCTGCAATCAGAAACATATATAAACAACACAAGTTAATCAAGTGAACTATTTAATTCTTTTTTTCATTGTTATTTGAACATTATTGTATTTCTTGAAAATATTCTTGTCTTAGGTCTTTTGGCTGTAGCCGCTGACAGGTTTTTCGAACTGCTCCTGAAAAAAAACAACCCAAAAAATTCATGAAACTGTCAGATATCATAATTTTAGACATGAGAACTATCGTAAAAGGACATAGTATTTGACCTTATGTTTTATTGAAACATACAACTTAATGATTGAAAACTTCTTGTTTATTGCACAGAGTGACGTTCGGATGTAGATTCTTACACTGTTATCAAGCTAAAACCAAATGATGAGAAGTATATATGCGTAGTATGTTTTGACAATCAGCAGATTAACATTAACAACAACATGTTATTGAATAACAACTGGTACATTATTGGGAGAGGCCAGATGGGGACTAAGAACAACAAATGGAATGGTGATGAAGCCAATAAACAAGGGGGGATTCAGGTGTAACAACAAGCTGATAGGGTGCTTTGATAGAGTCTATAGTTTGATTAGTTCTTCATTGGTCTGTCGTTTTCATGTTACTGCAAAATTTGGTTTTGTTGCAATTATTAGATTTTGTGTTAGTGAGCAATTCATTGGTCTCAAATGAAATCAAACAGACTATGTGTTGGTGGATTACTGGTTAAGGCTCGTGAAGACATGTTGTAGGTGGTTCCGCTCATGTTCTAGGTCATGGCTGCTGGAGCATGTTCTTAGCGTGCTTGATCAGGGTTGAGATGACGCCAAACTTAGTTTTAGGGGGCTGGTTTGACAAATTCGAAATCTTATCCACCAAGAATCAGGACTTCACAAAAAGAAAACTTTTGGAAGCCATCAAAATCAGCCGCCACAAACCTTTGATCAATAGAGACCAAGGATACTACATACCATTGGGATATGAAGAACTAATCAAACTATAGACTCTATCAAATCACCCTATCAGGTTGTTACAACCTAACATTCCACCCCCTACCCCCTCCCTTCTTTGTTAATTGGTTTCATCACTAGATCCATTTGTTGTTCTTAGTCCCCAACTGGCCGCTCCCAATTATGTTTATTTGACAAAACATACTATGTACATGTATATATACTTCTCATCATTTGGGTGTAGTCACTTTTAGCTTGATAACGGTGTAAGAATCTACATCGAAACGTCGCTCTATACAATAAACAAGAAGTTGTCATCCAAAGAGTTGTATGTTTCATTTTTGACTCGCCAACTTCAAGAATGCTGTTCAAACAATGTTTTATTTGGATATGACGCTTAACTACTATAACTGTGACACATATATCTGATATGATGATGTTTAGCAATTATTGGTTGTAAAGATGAATAATAGAGAGAGTTGTATATGGAAACAGGAGTGTAACTGACAAACACATAATGTTAATAAAGTAAACATAATAAATTTAAATAATTTAAAATGAAATAAGATTTTATCAAAGTGGTTAAAACAGGCTACCTAAAGAAAAGAGTCAATTAAATCTTTTATCTACTCAATCAATTGCCTTTCAATACAGTATGTGTCAGTTTCTTTAGCCTAAATGATGATTTAAACCAATTATTTCACAATATATTCGCAATTCAGTATCACAGAAATAACAATGCATATTTACCAGTTGAAGGCCTCCAGAAATGTAGTGTCGTCTGCTCTTTGAATATCAGGTAAAGCTATCAATGATGACAAGTTTGGTATTCAGTTTGGAGAAAACAACGCTGTAAAATTCACTGCATCATAGTTGAAAGACAGGGAAATGGATTCATTCTTTTTGTCTGTGTAATTATTTCAACTGTCATCAAAATCTTTATAAGAAAACATGGCTATAAATGGCCGTGTGCTCACTCTTTTATTCACAATGTTGGGCCAACGGTGGCCCAACTTTTGTGAAATAGATGTAAGATCAGGGAAAATAGGCACTGTTTTTTCAAATGTTGGCCCACTGTTGGACCAACGTGTCAAAAGCCACCGTTACTTTTAAGTCATTAAGATAACGTTGGGCCAATGTTGTCAAACTGTTGGCCAACCAACCAACCATATACCAACATTGGCCCAACACACCTTTGCTATCTGGAAATGAATAGGTCTTGCACGTGTTGATGGACGATATGACGGTCCTGGCGACGTGTTGTTACACGGGGTTGACCACTACGTGGACGGTCATCAGTGCTGCTGGTGGCGTTGTATCGCACTCTAAGACGTTCTATCGTTCGTACGCTGCAACTGAAGTCATTAGCAATGACTCGAGCATGTTGACCAGCGTGCAGACGTCCAATAGCTTGTTGTGGTTGATCTCTCGTTAACCTAGTCATAGCTGCTGTGTTCAGAAAACAAGTGAACGATTGCCATTCAAGCCGGCAATTTATGCCTGAATGCATTTATGATGCACGTGCATCTCGATTTCAATGTTGTGTTTGTGGGAACTTTTCCCTCTCCAAAAAACCAAAACATTTCTAACTTCAATCTCAAACAATACTTTATTGGGCAATGCAGGCTATACGACCACGATTCATGTTTCCTCAAACTTGACTTCTGGTGTATATTTAAAAAAACAGGTTCAAATACTCCATTGTTACTCAAATGCCATTTCTAATATTACGACGTTTCTTTTGCCTTTCAGTAATATTTCGTTTTGTCTCTCGAGAAGAGTAACCTCCCTTCCATTACAGTGATGGCGGATGTTTGCCATGTGGAAGTCTCATTTTGAGTAGGACCAGCCAAGAAAGTATTTTTTCGTCAATATCAGGTATGTCCCCTCATGTGATCATACCACATCTTGAAGATAAGAACATTAGCTAATATGTGATGAAAATTTAAGCATAAATAATTCGACTTTCGGTATTTTATTACAGATTTCAAGAAAATCGTTTTTGTCAACAGAGACAGTGCGCGGGTAAACCACGTGCAGACTCCCGCGCTTGTTCGTTCATTCAAAAGTGGTCAAATCTCAGTTGTCATCAAACGATCTGACTCGAAGCATGGATATGGCGACTTTACATCTAGAAGATGGGTCATCGTACCACGGGCACCTGTTCGGAGCTGCTGTTAGTGTTCCAGGCGAAGTCGGTAAGATGATGTTGTTGACTTAGCGGATGTTGGCCTTGACTCGACAATCTAGACTTTGTAAAGGCTCTTAACACGCTTAATATATTTTACGCCTTTACCAGCTCTGTGTCATCTTATTTGAGTGGAATTATGGAAGTTAGGGATTACAATAATGGCACATTATGGATAAGAAGTTCATATATTTTTGTGGGTGCTACGTTTCGGTACAGATTCTTGTTCCGTTGTCTAGTATAGGAATCAGTACTGTACGGAAACTCACAAAATAAAGAATTTTATGTTGTTATCTATAAGTTTGTCATTATCAGTATGTATCATCTACTTGTGTTACATTTTTTTTTCAAAGAATAATCTGAATTCTCTGCCTTTGAAGGAGTTATTAGAAATCATAATCATATATATTAATATATGTTGCAAATTTTCGTTACATATTTAGGAGATAAACGTACTGTGTTGGGAAATTAGATGAATGTTAGGCAGAATTGATAGTCTCTAAATTTCATTTGGAACCGAACGCAAACCGAATGATTAATTTAGAGACTATCAATTCTGCCTAACATTCATCTGGGGCGGTAGGGTAGCCTAATGGTTAAAGCGTTGGCTCGTCACGCCGAAGACCCGGGTTCGAATCCCCACATGGGCACAATGTGTGAAGCCCATTTCTGGTGTCCCCCGCCGTGATGTTGCTGGAATATTGCTAAAAGCGGCGTAAAACCAAATTCAGTCAGTCAGTCAGTAACATTCATCTAATTTTCAAACACAATAACTTATCTCCATTCTACCATAACCGATTTAAAATCGAACTCCTTCCTTCCGCGGAAGACACTGCGAAATCCGGCATGGTGCGAGAGGCGAATTGAACTCGTCTGTGAAGGGAGTGGAAGGTGCCGTTCGTATTTTTTTTAAACATTGCAACATATATAATATTCTGTCCAAAGAAAACTAACTACTGTTTATTCAATGCAATAATGTAATACCTAAGAGCTTGGTTTATATAATACCAACTCCCCCCGACCGAAACCAGCCTATTGTTTTGCGTGCCGTGTTACTCTAACCCCCTGGCCACACTATAATGGAACGTCTGACCTACTTATTTTTCTTGGAAGTGCAGTCTGTAGTTGTTGACAGTTACGCAACAGTTTGAAATGGGGGACAGACAGTGTTTACATTTTGAGTGACAGTGGAAAATACTTGACTGACTGTCGAATCTGAACCCTGCAGAATCGAAGAATAGATCCTTTTCTGATCGACCTACGACCTGTAACTATTCAAAGATTTGTATGACCAGCGAGTGTGGATCATGATTTCACTTACATCACTGACATTCTTATGATTCTAAACGGAAACAAATATACCATTTACCAGGTAGGTAAATGTTTAGTAAGGATTTGCTGCACATTTTGTATACATCATGATAGATAGGGATGAAATTTACAAGGCTTTCTGATTTACATGTTAGATATTGTTTATGTTTGGGGCTGTGTATTGTAATTAGTTTGAATATTTTTATTATAGAAGGTCATATTATAGTGAGCTTCCCTAATAATTGTGGAGGAAAAATCATATAATAATCGTATTTTTTGAGTTTTAATAAATGTTTTATCAGCATTTCCATCACGTCTGTTGTGTTGATATTAGCCATGTTGGTGGTCAAGCTGATGTGGCTGTGTTGTATATGTGCGCAGGGAAGCGGTCATGAAATCAGACGAATTTTCAATCCAAAATTGATAGCGTCTAATTTTATTGATTGACCAATCAAAATCGAGCATTTTACGTAGCCATGGTAGAATTATAATTTGTTTTCTTCCTCACAAGCATTTTATAAGGACTTGACATTTCGGCTGGCTGGTTTGTTGTTTAATGCAATATTCCAGCTATGTGGCGGCGGTCTGTAAATAATCAAGTCTGGACCAGATCATTCCAGTGATCAATTGCTTGAGCATCAATCCATGCATTTGGGATACGATGACATGTGTCAACCAGGTCCCATCAGTCGCCTCTTGCGATTTCTAACCCAGATTTTCATGGGTCACTTGACATTTGTTTTGTTGCTGTGAGACTGAAATATCTCAACGTTAATTAACTCTCATCTCACACTTTAAGTAAGAGCGGTGGGGTAACCTAGTGGTTAAAGCGTTGGCTCATCACGCCGAAGACCCGGGTTCGATTCCCCACATGGGCACAATGTGTTAAGCCCATTTCTGGTGTCCCCCGCCGTGATGTTGCTGGAATATTGCTAAAAGCGGCGTAAAACTAAACTCAGTCAGTCACTTTAAGTAATGATTTGAAAATTTACAAAATGTTTAAATTAAAGCTTCATTTGTCTAACTACTGTTTCCAATGTAAGTAATTAGTAAAAAAAATACTGACTTCATCATGGGAAAGAATAAGAAAGTATGAAAGTATTGTTGATTTTATTTGAAATATGTTTAAGTATTTTTTCATGGTCTTGCCAAGGTACATTCAGTGTGATGTACAAATTCTAATTTCTTTTCAACACTAAATACGGTTTATAACCAATCCTCAGGTGTATTATGTGTCCACCATGGACTCAGTACCAACATCTCTTTCTGGCATCAGTAACTTAACGCAGAATTCCCCTAACAGATGTATGGGGATGATTAAATTAAAGTACTCACGGGAATAGAAATAAAATGGTTTTTGGCGTTTATTTGTTTATTACTTCATTAAAATAGGTCGTTTTAACAAATGTTAAAATAACTATGTTTTTCCCATAGCAATAACCGCTCTCAGCAATATTCCAGCTATATGGAGGCGGTCTGTAAATAATCGAGTCTGGACCAGACAATCCAGTGATCAACCGCATGAGCATCGGTCTGCGCAATTGAGAACCGATGACATGTGTCAACCAAATCAGCGAGCCTGACCACCCGATCCCATTAGTCGTCTCTTACGACAAGCATGGGTTACTGAAGATCAAGATTCTAACCCAGACCTTCACGGGAAATGTTGCAATAGACTATCGTTATCGCGATAGTTGTTTTCTTATCAAAAGTCGCCCCTAGTGGTATATATCTCAAAATAGATTGTACATATCATATAATTGATATGGCTGGAAAATTGCTGAGCGTTAAGGAACAAATAAACACAAAAATGCTTGACTACTGAGGATGAAATACAGATAGTTATTCTTACAAGAGGATGGTGAATTGTCATTAGTTGTTCTTAAGCAGTAAAAGACAACATAATCTAGGTGGGAAAACATTTCTCTTTTTCTAAATTATAAAGGCACCATTTGTAAAGATGTAAATAGGATGACAGACCTCTTGTCTTTTGCAGTCAAAATGATGCACTATTCTTCATAAATTCTGATTTTATTTCACATTTCATTCAATACATAATTTTTCACTTCATTTTTATTTGTCTAGTGAAAAATCACTCTGCAAAGCTAAAATATTTGTTAATAACATTGAAAAATGTTTAACACCAGTTTGTGTGTCATTATATAGCGACTGGTGAAGATCCTGGTTAGAATTGGTCTTCAGTAACCCATGCTTGTGATAAGAGGCGACTAACAGGATCGGATGAACAGGCTCGCTGACTTGGTTGACACATGTCATCGGTTCCCAATTGTGTGGATCAATGCTCATGAAGTTGATCACTGGATTGTCTGGTATAGACTCGATTATTTTCAGACCCCTGCCATATAGCTGGAATACTGCTGAGTGCAGTGTAAAACTAAACTCTTTATGTCTCCCTCTGTGCATGTCAGGATACATCCTGGATTAGTGGCTGTGGGTTGTTTTGTCCGCCGGAACCTACCCACCACAATTTACAATGGATTGCTGTCTTTATTTTACAGTGTTCCAGACAGGCATGGTGGGTTACCCAGAATCCCTCACTGACCCATCCTACAGGAAGCAGATCCTGGTGTTGACGTACCCACTGATCGGGAATTATGGCATCGCTGATGAAGAAACTGATGAGTTTGGACTGAAGAAATGGTTTGAATCATCTGAGATCCATGTAGCAGCCTTGATAATAGGAGACTTGACTGAGAAGCGAAGTCATTGGGCTGCGGTGAAGTCGCTTGCAACATGGCTGGAAGAACAACATATCCCAGCAATATGGGGTACATACTTAACATACAATTTATATCAGGATAGTCAAATTACATGTATGTAGCGATACTCAAGTCCCTGTGTAATTTGCACCATATTTGCAAGAACTTGAAACAATGTTGTTTTGACATGAAATTTCATTGTGTAAAATATATTACGTATCGTGTGAAAGTTGCAAGGAGTTGACCCTGAAGTAGAGGTTTCCAGTTTCGTTGTTTGAATCCAGATTCTCATGATTTTCATCCTCCGACCTATTTCAGCTTCTGAATTTTGCTCAGCTGCTACGTCTACCATTTTCAGTGGCCCGTTCCACAAGCAATCGTAGGGCTAAGGTGATCGTAACTCCCATACTTTAACATAGACTTACGACTGTCGTAGCGCTAAGGTGATCGTAACTCCCATACTTTAACATAGACTTACGACTGTCGTAGCTAAGGTGATCGTAACTCCCATACTTTAACATAGACTTACGACTGTCGTAGCGCTAAGGTGATCGTAACTCCCATACTTTAACATAGACTTACGACTGTCATAATAACTACGATCACTTGTGAAACAGGGCCCAGGGCCTCAACCTATAAAGCATTCGTAATGCTACGAGCTATTGTAACCATTTAGCATATTAAACACTTACAAATGATACAGTGCTACATACGCTTCGTGGATCGGGCCCTAGGGTGGGCTTTGGAAATGTAGAGCTTAAAACTGAAATGCACAGTAAGAGTTGTCGCTGCCCTGTTTGCTGCATGATGTCACCAATCTGTGGATGTTTGCCGTTATCTTGTCCTGTAGTGAACATGTTCCGTTGTAGTATTGTCTCTGGGGAAATTATTTCCATGGAAAGGTATTACAAGGTTATATTTTCTGTGGCTGTTTGTTCCCCAGATTTCTGTGAGTGTGTTATAAATTACCTACCCCTGACCTTAACCCTTATGTAGAAATGTAACCAAGCTGATTTCTACATGTCACTGAAATTTTCTTCTACGTTCCCGTGCTTAATTTTGTTTGGCGAGTTGTATTCACACATGAATTAATTCCTTGTCGGGCTGATCATCGTTAACACGTTTACTGATTTCCTGCTCCAATTGGTATTTTGAAAATGAATATAACCAGTATTACCAATGAATATTTCATAAATATCTGTTTTTTGGAAGGTGCTTTTTGCAATTCTTTGATTCCAAAATTTCATAAAATTTATAAATGGTATGAAATGCTCTAATGTCATTCAGATACTGTGTTGATCACCTGCACTGAGGTACTATACCATTATGTGAGGGGCACGGATGGTCCATTAGTTGAAAGTGCTGCAATTCATCTTTCAGAGTTGCCTCCCTTATCGTGCCAAGAACCAGGATTGCAGGTTCAAATCCCTTGTGCTTTATGTCTTTCACAAATTGGTAGTCATCCTGCACCACTTCCTACCATCCTTCCACATCAAACTGTTTAAGGGAATCACTCACTCATTCCACTATTTTAAGCCCACTGTCTCCAGTAAAGCTCCCACATAGGTACAATGTGTGAAGCCCATTTCTGGTGTTCCCCGCTGTGATATTGCTGGAATATTGCTGAAAGAGGCATAAAACTAAACTCACTCACTCACTCCAAGAAAGCTGTAGCTGTGATTTGGTTCACATCATCGAAAAAACGTTCTCGTCTTCATACGGAGGAAATTCTCATGTAATATTAACCAAAGTGTTGATTATAACTGAACATAGAAGTTTATTCTTTTATTGATGATGTTTCTTTTTTCCAGGAGTTGATACTAGAGATCTGACAAAAAAGATCCGAGAGAAAGGGACCATGCTTGGGAAGGTAGGGTTGTTTCTTGATTATTGTTACCATGGTTACCAGGTTTGATGCATCAAGCGACATCATCTCCCGCCAAGAATTCAAAGTGGGAGGGGGATATTGGTTTGAGCTCCATCCGTCGGAGGTGATGGGGACAGATTTTCTCAAAAAACGTTCCTAGATAGGGAAACCAAATGTGGTATGTGTTTTCAGGACATGAATGTTGTGGTGGAGTTAAAAAACAGGAACCAAACAGGAACCGAACTCTGTGGCGGGGGATATTCATGACCATATTTTCTTGTTTTAATTATGTCTTTCAGTGGCATTTAGAAGTTGTACATTGATGTCCAAGATATTTTTATGGATTAAACTTCTTTTTTAAATAGGGATAATGTATAATAATAATGTGAGAGAAATTAAAAAAGAAGTTTAATCCATAAAAATGTCTTGTTTTAATTAGTTTCAATAAATTCCAAACTTTCTAATGCATCTTTTTCAATATGATGCAAAATATGATGAATTTAATGAGAATATAGTATTCTTGTAATATCTTTAAGAAAATATATGTTGTCTTCAAAATGTAGGAGGCATCTTTGAGAGAAGCTCAAAGTTGAAAACATTTATTATTTTCGTTTCGTTTCACTATTTTTCAGTTTTAGACTTTATTTTTGTTAGCTTTTGGAGAAAAAATATCAATCATCGTTCATGATCAAACGTAAAATATAATTGAAACAGCTGTTGGGTTTGTTTCGATGAAGTTTGATTATTTATTTGTTTTCCTATTCGACAATATTCTCAGGTTGTGGTGGATGGTGAGGACCCAGAATCTGTCGCCCTGGTGGACCCAAACGTCACCAACCTCGTCAAGGAGGTGTCGATCCAGGTGAGAAATGTCCTCTCAATACGTGTCTCCCTAATATTTGTCTCCCTGGTACCTGATACTGTCATGGTACAGAACTTTGGGTATCTAATAGATTGATATATTGTCATTTTGCAGAAGCCCATGGTGTATAATAAATCGGGTGATTTGAAGATCATGGCGGTGGATTGTGGCATCAAGTACAACCAGATCCGTTGTCTCTGTCAGCGTGGGGCTCGGGTCACTGTGGTGCCGTGGGACCACCCCATCAACAGCGCAGGTGAACAACATCAACAACATTCATAAGTATACCTTTTGATGAGTATTGTTGTGATCTGAATCAAAATGTGACCAGTGTCTCAAAAAATATCATTGAATACATTTTGACCTATAACATGCTATTTTTCCTTATCCTGACTCATGCTAATTATGCTTGTCTCCTTCCTCTTGGGAATGATAGTGGAACACTTGAAATCCCTTGAAGTTCCCTTCTAAAAAAGGACATAAACCACTCACCCACTTTCCTCCCTTTTGGCGTCCAATTAGTCACAAAATTACATTTTTTCATTTTCTGGTATGAGATTAGTCCTTATACTTTTGTCAGTAAGCATATATAACTGTAGAATTGCAAACACACTTACAGGTTTAGGACTGAAATTGTAGTTGTCATTATTCTTGACCATAGCGTCAAAGAGAATTTATAGACATGTTTTGAGAAACTGAAGAACGTTGTTCACAGAGGAGATTGGCAACCAAGCTGCTGGATGTCTCTATGGATCGGCTCAGTCAAACATTCAGCTATGGAGAAGAAACAAATCAAAGTCAGTTGTCATGCCAAAGAACGAGAACGCAGATAGGGGAAAGTGTTCCATCTTTCTCCCTATCCCCAAGTCAGGGCAGGGAGTGCTGAAGTAGTACTGAATGGTCGTAGTGGGCATCAGCATGACCAATATCAGAAAAAAGAGCCTTGACATCGACAAGAAGATGGACATAATTGTTCCATGGTTATCAAGGGTGAACCTTCTCCCAAAGGAGTCGTAGTGCATGAACATGAATAAGGATAGAGTGATAGACATATGACTGAAGATTGGATGAAAACAATGTGGGACTTGACACCAGGTGGGACTGGACACCAGGTGGGACTGGACACCAGGTGGGACTTGACACCAGGTGGGACTGGACACCAGGTGGGACTGGACACCAGGTGGGACTTGACACCAGGTGGGACTGGACACCAGGTGGGACTTGACACCAGGTGGGACTTGACACCAGGTGGGACTGGACACCAGGTGGGACTGGACACCAGGTGGGACTTGACACCAGGTGGCCTACTGAAAGAGAAATATCTGCCTGTGTCGGATGGCTTCTGATGTCTTCGTCTGCCCTCGGTGAAAAGGACAAATGAAAGCAATGGTGACAGATCTGGTTATCTGTAGGGACCTTACTATTGCAGCTGCTTGATGCCGCCTTACAAAAGCTGTTCAAGTCTCGTCTACAATCAAAATGGGATGAATGCATTGCCAACCGACACCAGACCAAAACAGCCACTGGCCACATCTGATACCTGGCGCACATGCAAATGATGATGACGTATTTTCTGTTTGGAATACTTTCCACAACACCAGGGGGAATCCTTCAACACAAGCCACGCCATCATCATTTCCTGAATTGTGTGACCCTCAGGGGGAATGATGTTGTCCAATAATTCACAACCAACCCCATCAATGGTATAGTCATGCTCATAGCTGTGCAGCCAGGCCACATAAAGGTTGTGATTTTTATGGGAAAATGTGATGTTTCTCTTTCAGACTATGATGGTTTGTTCCTTAGTAACGGACCAGGTGACCCAACGATGTGTGGTACAACTATCTCCAATGTTGGTCGTGTTCTCAACGAAACCAACTTCAAGCCAGTGTTTGGCATATGCCTTGGTCACCAGCTCCTTTCCCTAGCCATCGGCGCCAAGACGTTCAAGATGAAGTAAGTATGGTAACTTGGAAACGTGTCATTTTTTCTTATCCTGACTCAGATAAAATAAAAAGGATATAATGCCGTATACAGGACTCCAGTGCTCGCCCAACCATCCAACTGGGCAAAAAGGGAGAGAGTGACCAGTCAGGCTTGTCACATGACTGTTTGCGCGGGAAAAGGGAGGTAACTCGTGGGTGAGTGTATTTTTACGTCCGCTTAGGGAACTTCAAGTGTTCCACTACCATTCGCAAGGGAAAGAGAGATAAGCAAAAGATCATGAGTCAGGATAAGTATAAAAATATAAATTTTACTTGAAGAATTACATTATGCCACTTGCCATCAGTGCCAAGACATTCAAGATGAAGTAAGTATGGTAACGTAGAAATGTGTATTTATCCCTAGCCATTGGCGCCAAGACATTCAAGATGAAGTAAGTATGGTAACTTAGAAATGTGTATATATCCCTCGCCATCGGCCCCAAGACATTCAAGATGAAGTAAGTATGGTAACTTAGAAATGTGTATATATCCCTAGCCATAGGCGCCAAGACATTCAAGATGAAGTATGGTAACTTGGAAATGTGTGTATATATCCCTAACCATTGGCGCCAAGACATTCAAGATGAAGTAGGTATGGTAACTTGGAAATGTGTGTATATATCCCTCGCCATTGGCGCCAAGACATTCAAGATGAAGTAAGTATGGTAACTTAGAAATGTGTATATATCCCTCGCCATCGGCACCAAGACATTCAAGATGAAGTAAGTATGGTAACTTAGAAATGTGTATATATCCCTAGCCATAGACGCCAAGACATTCAAGATGAAGTATGGTAACTTGGAAATGTGTGTATATATCCCTAGCCATTGGCGCCAAGACATTCAAGATGAAGTAGGTATGGTAACTTGGAAATGTGTGTGTATATCCCTCGCCATTGGCGCCAAGACATTCAAGATGAAGTAAGTATGGTAACTTAGAAATGTGTATATATCCCTCGCCATTGGCGCCAAGACATTCAAGATGAAGTAAGTATCAATAGTGTCAATATTTCCCTGGTGATTGGCACCATACAATTCTAGATGTAGTAACTATGGGTACTGATAATTATATAAAACCCCTTGCATCCTCTCCAAGACGTTAACAATGAGGTGTTGGAAACATAGAAATTCAGGAATTATGATAGGTGCTTATTTCCTGCCATCAGCAACATAGCTCTCAAGATGAAGAAAGTGTCATAACTGGAGAACATTTATTCATATGTCTGTATGGGCATTAAAAGAATAATAGTTTTGAAGTAATGTTTGTTTGTTGCAATGTTTGTTAGAAATTGATAGATTGGTGGAGATGTTATTAATGATCACACATCTCTCCTTAGATATGGTAACCGTGGCCACAACCAGCCCTGCAGGTACGAGGATTCCATCCGCTGCTACATCACCACGCAGAACCATGGATTTGCTGTCGATCCCGACTCGCTCCCAGAAGACTGGGTGCCACTGTTTACCAACGCTAACGACAAGACTAACGAGGGAGTCATCCACACTGACAAGCCATTCTTCAGGTGTGTACATGCCATCGCCATGATGTAGTTGACAGACCGTTGCCATGATGTGGTAGAGAGACTGTTGCCATGATGTAGTAGACAGAACGTCGACACGGCGTAGTAGACAGACCGTCGCCATGATGTAGTAGACGCACCGTTGCCATGATGTGGTAGGCATACCGTTGCCATGATGTAGTAGATGGACCGTTGCCATGATGTGGTAGACTGACCCTTGCCATGATGTGGTAGACAGACCGTTGCCATGATGTAGTAGACAGACCGTTGCCATGATGTGGTAGACGGACCATTGCCATGATGTAGTAGACAGACCGTTGCCATGATGTGGTAGACAGACCGTCGCCATGATGTAGTAGACGGACCGTTGCCATGATGTGGTAGGCAGACCGTTGCCATGATGTGGTAGACGGACTGTTGCCATGATGTGGTAGGCGGACCCTTGCCATGATGTGGTAGACGGACCGTTGCCATGATGTGGTAGACAGACCGTCGCCATGATGTGGTAGACTGACCGTTGCCATGATGTGGTAGACAGACCGTTGCCATGATGTAGTAGACAGACCGTTGCCATGATGTGGTAGACGGACCATTGCCATGATGTAGTAGACAGACCGTTGCCATGATGTGGTAGACAGACCGTCGCCATGATGTAGTAGACGGACCGTTGCCATGATGTGGTAGGCAGACCGTTGCCATGATGTGGTAGACGGACTGTTGCCATGATGTGGTAGGCGGACCCTCGCCATGATGATGGTAGAGCGGACAGACCGTTGCCATGATGTGGTAGACAGACCGTTGCCATGATGTGGTAGACAGACCGTCGCCATGATGTGGTAGACAGACCGTCGCCATGATGTGGTAGGCGGACCGTTGCCATGATGTGGTAGACGGACCGTTGCCATGATGTGGTAGGCAAACCCTTGCCATGATGTGGTAGACGGACCGTTGCCATGATGTGGTAGGCAGACCCTTGCCATGATGTGGTACACGGACCGTTGCCATGATGTGGTAGACAGACCGTCACCATGATGATGTGGTAGACAGACCGTTCCCATGATGTAGTAGACTGACCGTTACCATGATGTAGTAGACAGACCGTTGCCATGATGTGGTAGACAGACCGTTGCCATGATGTGGTAGGCAGACCCTTGCCATGATGTGGTAGACGGACCGTTGCCATGATGTGGTAGACAGACCGTCACCATGATGTGGTAGACAGACCGTTCCCATGATGTAGTAGACTGACCGTTACCATGATGTAGTAGACAGACCGTTGCCATGATGTGGTAGACAGACCGTTGCCATGATGTGGTAGGCAGACCCTTGCCATGATGTGGTAGACGGACCGTTGCCATGATGTGGTAGACAGACCGTCACCATGATGTGGTAGACAGACCGTCCCCATGATGTAGTAGACTGACCGTTGCCATGATGTAGTAGACAGACCGTTGCCATGATGTGGTAGACAGACCGTTGCCATGATGTAGTGGACAGACCATCGGCATGATGTAGTGGACAGACCATCACCATGATGTAGTGGATAGACCATTGCCATGATGTAGTGGATAGACCATTGCCATGATGTAGTGGACAGACCATCGGCATGATGTAGTGGACAGACCATCACCATGATGTAGTGGATAGACCATTGCCATGATGTAGTGGATAGACCATTGCCATGATGTAATGGACAGACCATCGCCATGATGTAGTGGACAGACCATCACCATGATGTAGTGGATAGACCATCACCATGATGTAGTGGACAGACCATCACCATGATGTAGTGGATGTATGATGTAGTGGATCACCATGATGTAGACCATCACCATGATGTAGTGGATGGACCAGACCATCACCATGATGTAGTGGATAGACCATCACCATGATGTAGTGGATAGACCATCACCATGATGTAGTGGATAGACCATTGCCATGATGTAGTGGATAGACCATTGCCATGATGTAGTGGATAGACCATCACCATGATGTAGTGGATAGACCATCACCATGATGTAGTGGATAGACCATCACCATGATGTAGTGGATAGACCATCACCATGATGTAGTGGATAGACCATCACCATGATGTAGTGGATAGACCATTGCCATGATGTAGTGGATAGACCATTGCCATGATGTAGTGGATAGACCATCGCCATGATGTAGTGGATAGACCATCACCATGATGTAGTGGATAGACCATCACCATGATGTAGTGGATAGACCATCACCATGATGTAGTGGATAGACCATCACCATGATGTAGTGGATAGACCATCACCATGATGTAGTGGATAGACCATTGCCATGATGTAGTGGTGGCCATGATGTAGTGGATAGACCATTGCCATGATGTAGTGGATAGACCATCGCCATGATGTAGTGGATAGACCATCGCCATGATGTAGTGGATAGACCATCACCATGATGTAGTGGATAGACCATCGCCATGATGTAGTGGATAGACCATCACCATGATGTAGTGGATAGACCATCACCATGATGTAGTGGATAGACCATCACCATGATGTAGTGGATAGACCATTGCCATGATGTAGTGGATAGACCATTGCCATGATGTAGTGGATAGACCATTGCCATGATGTAGTGGATAGACCATCGCCATGATGTAGTGGATAGACCATCGCCATGATGTAGTGGATAGACCATCACCATGATGTAGTGGATAGACCATTGCCATGATGTAGTGGACAGACCATCGGCATGATGTAGTGGACAGACCATCGCCATGATGTAGTGGATAGACCATCATGATGTAGTGGATAGACCATGCCATGATGTAGTGGATAGACCATTGCCATGATGTAGTGGATAGACCATCGCCATAATGTAGTGGATAGACCATTGCCATGATGTAGTGGATAGACCATTGCCATAATGTAGTGGATAGACCATCGCCATGATGTAGTGGATAGACCATTGCCATAATGTAGTGGACAGACCATCTCCATGATGTAGTGGATAGACGATCACCATGATGTAGTGGACAGACCATTGCCATGATGTAGTGGATAGACCATCGGCATGATGTAGTGGATAGACCATCGCCATGATGTAGTAGACAGACCATCGGCATGATGTAGTGGATAGACCATCGCCATGATGTGGTAGACGGACCATCGGCATGATGTAGTGGATAGACCTCCGCCATGATGTAGTGGATAGACCTCCGCCATGATGTAGTGGATAGACCTCCGCCATGATGTGGTGGATCGACCGTCTGCCTCTGATTCTGAATTGACTTTCCTTTCCTGTGCCATATTCAGAGACATTCAAAGATGGTACTTGTTGTTACCCTGACTGGTGCTTGCCATTACGGGGATTGACCAATCAACTTGGAGACAGTATAATATACCTAACATGTTTATCCATGTTAAATTATAGCATGATACATGAGTACACGATAAACATTGATAGAACTGACGTAACAGCAACAAGTGTTCCTAGCGCAAGTGGTAGTCTACAGTGTGTAACTGACCAAAACTACATGGTGAACAGTTTTCCCGTGATTGAGCAAGTTTGCTAGGGTAGCTTGGGGTCATGACATTGTGGGGCGGCGGGGTAGTCTAGTGGTTAAAGCGTTGGCTCGTCACTCCGAAGACCCGGGTTTGAATCCCCACATGGGTACAATGTGTGAAGCCCATTTTTGGTGTCCCCCGCCGTGATGTTGCTGGAATATTGCTAAAAGCAGCGTAAAACCAAACTCAGTCAGTCAGTCATGAGATTGCCACTTTGTACTGTGTATAGATCAGCTTTATTTTGTATAGGTCAGCCTGCCTTGAGAATGTTTTGTTTACTGCCTCATTTCCTTCGAATATATGGCATGTATTTTTACCTTCTCTAGACAACATGGTTCCAGTTGGATTATATTTACATGTGGTGGTTTCTACCTGACTATTATCAAAGCATTGGCATCTGATTGAGCAGTCAGCTTTCTGAACAAAGAAAAGGCTTGGGAATATGTGTTATGAAAAATAAAGGCAAAATAAAGGTACTATCCCAAAGTGTCTTTCAGTGGCCCCAGTAGAAACCCTGGTTGATGGGCTGGACGTGTTTGTTACAGCGTACAGTTCCACCCAGAACACATGGCGGGCCCACAGGACCTGGAGGTGTTGTTTGATGTCTTCCTGGACCAGGTCAAGGCACACAGGCAGGGCGAGATCAGGTCAGTATATGAAGGTCAAGGTTGTAGACAAGGTGAGGTCAGGTCAGAATGTGGAGGTCAAGGCCACAGGTAGGTGAGGTTAGGTCAGGATTTTGAAGTGAAGGTCACAGCAATGTAAGATCAGGTTTGTGGTACTTTTGCTTTTTTAGTCAACTCTGTGATCATAATGCAATATTTATTGAAATTTTGCAGTGGCCATTTTGGCCCGGCCCCTTACAGAGATATCTTACCAGTGTTTCTCTCTACAACGCTGAATAAATACATTGCATAAATGGTGAGTCATGTGGCAAGATCTTTCCTTGTTTCACTGGATGTGTTTCTCTGGTTGCAGCCCGACAGTGAGAGAGAGGGTGTCTATGAAGCTGAGGAGCCCAGGAATCACACTGAACGTCCAGCAGGCACCACCCAGGCCCAAGAAGGTGCTGATCCTTGGGTCTGGGGGATTGTCCATCGGCCAGGCAGGAGAGTTCGACTACTCTGGATCTCAGGTAGGGATGATCAAGGGTGGTTCAAGAGGTGCTGATCCTCAGGCAGGGCTCCAGATACACTGGCCGTATCGGCGTATGTACGGATAAAAATATGCATGATACGGTAGGAAATAATTTAGGAAACGTAGCAGATACGCACCACAGCAATGGTGTATGGTCTTAGAATCATTTACAGATGTATTTATCTGAAAAAGTATTGTTTTATTGTTTATTGACCTGTTTACACAAGAGTAGCAATGTTGTAGTGCATATATGAAACGAAACACAAGATTAAAGATGCTCCATTAATTTCCATTCAGTACTCCAAATGTACACTTAAGGTTTTCCAGTACTCCTACATTGAAAAACTAAGGAGTACATACTCCTAATGTTGAACAATTATCTGGAGATAGATTGAGTACTCTAGATCTCAGGTAGGGATATTGAAGGGTGGTTCAGGAGGTGCTGATCCGCAGGTTGGGAGAGATTGAATACTCAGGGTCTGTGGTAGGATGGCTGGGTGGGGAGGTTGTGGGCCAAGGAGTCTTTCACAACTGATGTGGGTGGAGGGGTATGTGACCACTGCTGATCATGGTGTTCAAGGTTGTTGTCCAGGGATTTTTTTATGCCTGAAACAAATTTCACTAAAAAAAATTCCCTTATTATTTCCCCCTGGGGATAGCAGCATGGGAAGATATCCCCAAGTCACAGGAAATGTGTTGGAGTCATGGTGATGGGTGGGTTTGAGATGTGTGTTCAATGTCCGTTCTCCAGTCATTTATGAACTCTCTCATCTGTGCAGGCCATCAAAGCCCTGAAGGAGGAAGGCATCCATACAGTCCTCGTCAACCCCAACATCGCAACTGTCCAGACGTCCAAGGGCCTGGCCGACAAAGTATACTTCCTGCCTATAACCCCCGACTATGTAACCCAGGTGAGGGAAGTTCTGATCCACGTATGCCATACATAGATCATATATGGATGTGCTGCAGCCTGCCACTTGACTACAACAGTATGACAGCATTGCTGTTCTATGAGTTTTTAAAACTTTTTTCAGGAAATCAACAACAAAAAGTTTCATCATTCCGTTGAAAATGGTGTCATGTTTTCTGCAGGTTATAAGGAGCGAGAGGCCTGATGGGATTTTGCTGACGTTTGGTGGGCAGACGGCACTGAATTGTGGGATACAACTGACCGATCGAGGTGTCCTAGAAAAGTACAATGTCAGAGTTTTGGGGACGCAGGTGGCTTCCATCGAGTGGACAGAGGACAGGAAGATATTTGCAGAGAAAATGGCGGAGATTAAAGAACATGTGGCCCCCCAGCGAGGCGGCCTACACTGTTGACCAGGTGAGGGATGTTATGCCATGTGATGCGGATTCCTTTTGGGGGTTCTTTGTGTGACAGGGATCCGTCATTTTAATTGAGATGTTGAAGGCATGTGCCCTTGACAAAGAAACATTACATCAGTTAGATCAGTTTATATGAGAGGTAGTAAAAGAAGATAATTAATGTCACTAAACACTGAAATAACTAAGTAAGGGGGCTTGTCTCCTGTAACGGGGACTCCTTTGGTGAATTTGTCATGTGTAGTGGGACCTCCTTCAAGGAGCTTTTTCAAACATTCAATATATAAAAATATTTTGTTGAGTTCTCAGACATGTCCCCACATCCCTGAAACTCAGTTGTGAAATTGTTTACTTCCTCAAATATAGCAACAGGAATCAAATTAAATTAGGCATGAGATGATCAAGCACAACAATCATTCAACACTTTCAACTTTTGTCTCATAGTCATCATTCTTACTCATTCATGTAAATATTTACTTATGAAATTGTTTTGTTATCCATCAAATCAAAGTTAATTGTACATTGTTGGTTTTCAATTTATTATTATATCAGTACATAATTCTGTAATATAGCACACTTTTGAAAGATTCACAGAGGATGAATAATTATCAGTTGACTAATTGAATATGGATAAAAAGAACAGCATTCAATATCAAAATGTTCAGTGAATTTTGCTTCTCTTTTGAATAATGGTTGAAGATTCTAGAGATCAGTCATTTCTTACAGGTTGTGCAAGCAGCGGAAACCTTGGGTTACCCTGTTCTGATCCGAGCAGCGTTTGCCCTGGGTGGGCTGGGGTCCGGGTTCGCAGCCAACAAGGAAGAGCTGCTAGTTCTGGCTAGTGCCATCTTTGCTCACACCAGCCAGGTGTTGATAGACAAGTCTCTGAAAGGCTGGAAGGAGGTGGAATATGAGGTGGTCAGGGACGCCTACGACAACTGCATCACGGTGAGTGGAGGTTGTCAATCATCTAGGTGCCTCACCATCAAAATGGAGTGGTTTTCTGTTTATCTATGATTAAACCTTTGGTTGATGTCCTCAATCACGCCACCATGAACGTTGGGCCTGTGCTGTCTGGCGGGTAGCGATTAGGCTGGGTCAGTGTTGGTCACTTCTGAGCTGAATATTCCGTGTCACATTTAAACTGGGTTAGTGTTTCTTGTCATCTCACCATAAACACTGGGCTGTCACTATAACAGTGTTGCACCATGGCTTAGTGATTTGAGGAAGTGGCTATTTCTGAATATTTCAGAGTATTGGTAGCCAATTGACAGAAGCTTTCATAAGACCATGGTCCATGTTCAATTCCCTACAATCTTTGCAATGATTAAAGTATTTCTGTCATTATTTTGCAATAATTTAGCTCAAACGCAAAGCGATACTCCCTGATTCAAGCACTCCAAAGTTACAAATCTGGGCTGCTTTTTGTGTTCGCTGGTGAAGGGGTGGCAGGTGGTATGTTGATAATGACATAAGATGCAGGTGTCATTGCTTCAGGGGCCGTGGGGTAGCCTAATGGTTAAAGCGTTGGCTCGTCACGCCGAAGACCCGGGTTCGAATCCCCACATGGGCACAATGTGTGAAGCCCATTTCTGGTGTCCCCCGCCGTGATGTTGCTGGAATATTGCTAAAAGCGGCGTAAAACCAAACTCAGTCAGTCATTGCTTCAGTAATTTGGACACATACTTTACTGATTTCTTTAAAGTTACACTTGGCAGTGTTTGCTTGTTGGCTGCAACTGGCCAGCCTTTACTGACCTCTGTGTGTGCTGCAGGTGTGTAACATGGAGAATGTGGACCCACTCGGCATCCATACCGGGGAGTCCATTGTTGTCGCCCCCAGTCAGACCCTCACCAACGCAGAGTACAACATGCTGAGAACTACAGCCATCAAGGTCATCCGCCATCTCCGGGTTGTTGGAGAGTGCAATATCCAGTATGCCCTCAATCCACACTCACAGCAGGTAGGTCAAGGTCACTCAACAAGTAGGCCAAGGTCTGTCAAAAGGTCAGCAGGTATGTCAAGGTCACTCAGCTGGGAGGTCAAGGTCTGAGCACATATGTCATAGTCACTTAGCCAGTAGGTCAAGGTCACTCACCACGAAGGATTTTGGTATGTCAAGGTCTCTCATTTTATGTGCAGTAGATTTAGAACTTGTAGTCATATCATGCATCATGTCTGATGGCCAGTCAATAAAATTCAGGCTGTAAATTGCCAGAGGTTAACTGGATCGCTTTGATTAAAATATACTGACATATTAAGACCAGATTCATTTGCAAGTTGAAAAGTTCAATTTATTCTTATCCAGACTCTTATCCTTATGCTTGTCTCCCTTTTCTTTTCCAATGGTAGTGGAAACACTTGAATCCCTTGAAGTTCCTGAAGCGGACGTAAAAATACACTCACCCACGACTTACGTCCCATTTGCCCTTTTCCCACGCAAACAGTCATGTGACCAGCCTTACCAGTTTTATGAATTTCAGCAGTAGCAAGCAACATATGGTTTGCAGGCTGATCTCCTGTTTTATCAGCCGTGACTTGAGATGACTTCCTCACCCGATCCATGGCACGTCTATAGATATAAGACAAATATTGATTAAATTGTATATTTGATAAATCAACACAATAAGTACAGCGCAAGCTGGAAGAACATGGTTTTATGCACGAGGGGCATTGGGGGTGAGGATCAGCCACGGATAACCTGTGCCTGCAAACACTGCAAGATTTCATGAAATGTAAACAAAGTTACATAACGATGAAATTATGACACAAATACAATTAATTTTTACAATTTTTTTACACATAATACAAAGTAGTTATTGCCAAATCCATACACAGCGCAATTTTAAAGAATAGGATCTACATAAAACGGATATAATGCCGTATATGGGACTCCAGTGCTTGCCCAACCATCCGCTTGGCCGAAAAGGGGGAGAGTGACAAGTAAGGCTGGTCACATGACTGTTTGCGCGGGAAAAGGGCAAAAGGGAGGTAACTCGTGGGTGAGTGTAATTTTACGTCCGCTTCGGGAACTTCAAGGGATTCAAGTGTTTCCACTACCATTCGAAAAGAAAAGGGAGATAAGCAAAAGATCATGAGTCAGGATAAGTATAAAAATATCAATTTTACTTGAAAAATTACATGTCTGTCCCTAACATGACTAGAAATTATACCTGCTACACAACCAGTTGACAGATTATAACACAAATTGGTAGTTTTAGAAGACAAAAAATACTTCTGGACAGGTCCTATCAAGTTGAATGTCCAGTCAGTTATGTGGATCTATAGTCACATATCCTAACCTGATTACAAATTGGCAAGACACCAACTGAAGTATTAACCAATCCTATTTCAGTATTACATCATTGAGGTGAATGCCCGACTGTCTCGCAGCTCAGCCCTCGCCAGCAAGGCCACCGGGTACCCACTTGCTTACATCGCTGCCAAGCTGTCGCTAGGAATCCCCCTCCCCGAGCTGAAGAATTCTGTCACCAACTCCACCACAGCGTGCTTCGAGCCCAGTCTCGACTACTGTGTCGTCAAGATTCCTCGCTGGGACCTGCGCAAGTTTTCCAGGGTCTCAACCAAGGTGAGAAAGGATGTTATTGAATTATTGTAAGGTGATGGTGATATGCAGTGTTGGGGTTATGGGAACAAAGGGAAGGTTACATGGATCATAGATACTACAGGGAAGAAGAAGACGACAATGGAGAAGAAATATTTTATTGAAGTGTCACATACAGAATTGCATGTACAACAAACAGGACAGCACAGTTAAAAACAGCGCTATCCATTCGGCCTTAAACCGTTGAGAACAGTAGTAAAATAGAGATAAAATCACTTCATTGCTACAGGGGCAGTGGGGTAGCCTAGTGGTTAAAGCGTTCGCTCATCACGCCGAAGACGTGGGTTCGATTCCCCTCAGTGTAAAGCTGATGTGTTTTGACTGTTCCCTTTCCTGTTTTTAGATTGGCAGCTCCATGAAGAGCGTGGGAGAGGTGATGGCCATCGGACGCAAGTTTGAGGAGGCGGTACAGAAGGCCCTGAGGATGATGGACGGGAGCGTGCTCGGCTTTGATCCATACCTCAAAACTGTCTCCGAAACTGTAAGTCATTCAGTCAACTCACAGTGGAGGAAACTTCGTGAATACCTGTGTCTGTCATGAGAGTTTGATGTAATGCACTTTGAGGTCTGACTTTGTGAATTTGTTGGTAACATGTCAACCAACGTACACTAAGCCTGTGGATCGGTGCTCGTGTTATCAGTTATAGATGTGTCTGCTCTGGACTGGTCCACCACCATACTGCTGGAATATTGCTGTGGTGTTCAGAGACCAACCTGACGATATTGCCAAATACTGAGGCAAGAAGAGTGGACAAGCCTTAAAAATTGCTCAGTCCATTTGTTGATCTTGTTACTGATAGCAAGAGAAAAGGATGAGACACTTTCTTTGTCGTACGTTAAATGTGCTACTGACTCACATTGTTTTCAGGAACTCCGTGAGCCGACAGATGAGCGCATCTTTGTCCTGTCTGCGGCTCTGAAGCAGGGATACAGCATAGAGCATCTGTATGAGCTGACCAAGATTGACCACTGGTTCCTGCAAAAGTTCAAACACATCACGGACCACATCACAACCATGGAACAGTACAGGGGCAAGGTAGGTTGTTCCAGGGGCAAGAGGGGCGGTGGGGTAGCCTAGTGGTTAAAGCATTCGCTCGTCACGCCAAAGACCCTGGTTCGATTCCCCACATGGGTACAATGTATGAAGCCCATTTCCGGTGTCCCCCGCCATGATATTGCTGGAATATTGCTAAAAGCGGCGTAAAACCACACTCAGTCAGTCAGTCCAGGGGCAAGGGCAAAGGTAATATGTTCTTCACAAGTAGGGATGGTAAGCCTTTGTTCAGGGAAGGTAGGCTGTTATTTGGGGCAGGAGGTTGTTGATGGGGTTACATAAGCCTATTCGGAAGGGTAAAAGTGTCTGTTTGGATATGAGGGGGAGCAGTTGGTGGGGAAGGGTGGGCCTTTCAGAGGGTGAAACTGATTGGTTTGGGGGGGGAAGTTTGGCCTTTTGGAGGGAGAATACGGTCTCTTCAGGGGGTTGGTGGGTATAAGTATAAGTAGTTCAGAGTAGTTTATGCTCTTGTACTATGACTTTGATTGTTTGTATTTGATATTCATGTCTTGCACATACATGTTTCAGGCCAGTACTGTTCCCAAGGAGACTCTCCTTTATGCCAAACAGTTGGGCTTCTCAGACGAGCAGATAGCTGTTGCCATAGAGAGGTTGGTTCTAGTTAAACACTAACAAATTGTACACATACAACTTGAACTCTTCATTACGATTGAAGTTGTTAAGCATTGACCAGTTAGGCATCAACCAGTTAAATATTGAACAATTGTTTAGCTTCTGTCAATGATTTTTTTAGAGTTATTAATTGTACACAGGTAAATTATAGTTAAACACCCAGTCTATTTCATGCACGACAGCTCAGTTGATCAGATGGTCAATCTCAGATTGGTTGCATGTCGGGACTGAGAAATTGTAGTGTAATCAATCACTAGTTTGTCTGGTCCAGACTGTAATATTTACAGGAGGTTCTCGTATGGCTGGAATATTGCTGATTGCAACATTGGTCAATAGACAGACAGTATTTTGCTAAATTCTGTTATCTAAAACTGACATGAGTGTAACTTATATCATGAAGAGAGAGGAATAGTTGAAGTCAATATCTTTCAGTACGGAGCTTGCGGTGCGGAAACATCGTGAGGCTTTAGCGATTACACCGTGGATCAAGCAGATTGATACAGTGGCTGCCGAGTGGCCCGCCCAGACCAACTACCTGTACTTGACCTACAGCGGCCAGAGCCATGACCTTGACTTCCCCGGGGGCTACATCCTCGTTGTCGGCTCCGGCGTGTATCGCATCGGCAGCAGCGTCGAGTTTGACTGGTGTGCTGTCAACTGTATCAGGGAACTTCGCATAGTAAGTGGTGTTTTACAGCTGAAAGAGGTGATGTTTGCATGACACAAGGGGGTGTGTCCATTTTACAAGCAGAATAGTGGGGATCAGGTTAGAATAGCTGGGATCTGGGTTTAAGTGGGTTCACAGGGTGGAACAGTTAGGGCGCTGTGTGAAATAGTCGGGACCTTAGTGGGAACAGTGGAAACAGAAGGTGGAACAATGGAGATCCAGGTACAAACATTTGGCACCCACATTGGACTTGTTAGGACCCAGTGGGGAGTTAGGTTGGAACATTGGGGTTCCTGGTTGGAACAGTGGAGACACAGGGTTTGAACTCTGTGGACACCAGTTGGAATAGTGCGTAGTACAGCTTGATGGACTAGTTCTGACCCAAGGTAGAATAGTGGGGACCAAGGGGGAATAGTGGGGACCAAGGTAGAATAGTGGGGACCAAGGGGGAATAGTGGGGACCAAGGTGGAATAGTGGGGACCAAGGTAGAATAGTGGGGACCAAGGGGAATAGTGGGGACCAAGGGGGAATAGTGGGGACCAAGGGGGAATAGTGGGGACCAAGTGGAATAGTAAGGATTCATCATGGAATAGTTGGGACACAGATTTGACTGACTAAGTTTGGTTTTACGCCGCTTTCAGCAATATTCCAGCTATATCACGGCGGGGGACACCAGAAATGGGCTTCACACATTGTGCCCATGTGGGGATTCGAACCCAGGTCTTCGGCGCGTGACGAGATTCATAGACGTGGGTCCATTACAAGAAATTTTTCAGAGAGATCGTCCTTGGGGTACATATTATGCATTTTCCGGCTGAAAAATGTCCTGTGACAGTTGTATCAATGTTTTTGAATAAAAGATTGAACAATAAATAAACTCTTTTATTTATTATCGGCCCCTACCTCGCGGAGTTACCTCCCTTAAGCATGCGCACCAACTGGGTAGGCTCCTAGACCCGTATCATCATTCCTTCTGCTGTCACTGCGTGAACAGGCGTGTTTATAATAGAGCGCACTTCATGAGCGGACAGCTGAAAGCTACTAAAGAAAGCTATGTCTGAGACACCACCTGTATGTATGGTCTTTATTTGCCTAAAACAAGGAACAGTAAAGCTTTACAGTTGGTTGTTTCATAATTGTGACTTTATTATTAATACAAATTCAGCGAACTTTCCGTGGTTTTACGCGCGTGTTGCTCTGCCATGGCGGGAAGTTTAGCGTGCCATGTGGTCGTAATATTGCGTATTAAAACCAACTATTACTTTCGTGGTAACCTTCGCGTATTTTCAATGTTTTCTACGTGTTTATATGCTGCTGGCGGCTGTTAGCTACATGCTTGCGTGTTTGCTTTCAGGCCTTTTCATCCTGTTAGGTCTGTGGACAGAGAAATTCCGCGGGCGACAGGCATGAGCTATCGTTGCCTGTCTTGAGAAGGCAGACCCGCGGCGCTGAGTCCTGCCCTATTTGTCTGGCCTTTTCCCCGGGCCCAGAAGAGGCGGGGCCCGATCACGTTGTTTTATCGTGAGATGCGTGAGGCGGAGGGACCTGGCGCGGAGGTCCCCGTCTAAAACAAAGCGAGCGTCAAAAAGGAAAAAAAATCCGAGGCCCTTCCCCTCTCCTACCACTTGAGTGGTTTTGACATGTCGGTAATGGACTCTATGTTTCAGCAGCATATGGACTCCGTGAAGTCGCCGTTCGGGAGTCGGTTGGAGGTCTCCGGCAGGAGTTCCTCACCCACTCGGACGGGGAGAAGTCGAGGGTGGGATCGCCGGGCTCGGCTCGATCCCTCAGCCTTGGCGTCTGTAGATCCGTTGCCTCTGGCCGGATCCGGGCCTTCGGCTGCTCGAGGAGAGGAGGTGCTCCCAGTCCCCCTCGGAGTTAAGCGCAGGGACCGTTGAGTATTCCTGGTATTCCGGTCCTTGCGCGCCACCGCCCCCTGAAGGCGGAGGCACCAGTTCTGCCTGGCCTGCCTCCAGCGTCACCGGGACGGGGTCCACGCCGCGCCCGGCTGGCGCTGGCGTGGAGCCGTCTGTCTGTTCTTCCCTTCCTGTGGTTCCTAAGCTAGGCAGTCCACCGGGTCGGGGTTAGGGTCCTCTTACGGAGAGACCCAGCCTCTGACTTCGGGCTCGGGCGCCGAGGCAATGGAGCTTAGGGGAGGTTGAGGAGCAGGGCGGAGGCTTCCGTTTTGCCGACCTTGCGGGAGGTCCGGCAGAGAATTGCCGAGGGCCTACCCAGGCAGCGGTGCCTGCTGGTTGCGTGGACTCGACTGAGTTCCGCTTGCCAGGCGGCGTTTGCCCTAGGCAACCCTCGCAGAGCGCAGCTCCGCATTCTGCCGCCGTTGGTCACCGGGCGTGGTCGATCCCTCTTGTCTGGTGCCCGATGCGGTTTGACTTACGGATCTCGTGCGGCGCTACCAGCAGGGGAGGATTCCCTGCCGTTGTGCCAATTGTAGGCGAATGTGTGTTCACTTCCGTAAGCCCTGGGGAAGGCTCGGCTTCCTCGAGCAGCTCCGGCTGCTCGGCAAGGCGCCTGACTCCACCTTTTGCCCTCGGCGGTAGCCCCCTGCGACGCAGCGTGCGGACCTACGAGGAGGTCTGCGGGCAGCGATGCAGCAGGTGCGGGTGGTGGTCCATGAGGCCTACCTCTCCTCGGTTCAGAGGTTCGGCCCTGGGCGGAGGGCATGCTGGCGGCGATGTCGCGCGCATGTCGTGCTGCTCCGTCAGCTTCGGAAGTGCAGGCTCACCACGTGGCGACTCTTTGCGGTCTGCTGCGTCGGCGGTGATGTGCGCGAGTCATGGGGATCGCAGGCTGTGGCTGTCGGCGTCTAGGTACTTCGGCAGCAACACAGCGAACCTTGCTGGCCCTCCCTTTCCGTCTGGGGCGACCCTCTTTCCAGGGGCCCAGCAGGTCATCACGGGGAGGCTGCGCTGCAGCTACCTCCTTCAAGGACTCTAAGGCCTTGTTGGAGCACCAGCGGGTGTCTGCGCCCAGCGCTCCGTGCCACCTTCCTCCGCCCGGGGTGCAGCCTACACCCGAGTCTGCCGGCTGGCCGGCCGCTTGGTAGGGGTAGGCGGAGGAACAGGTCCGCCAAGGGTAGGGGCAAGGAGCAGTCCTCGACTAGCTCCCAGCAGCCTCGGCGGGCGGGAGGTCTGCCCGACCTCCCGTTAACCCATCAGGCTGCCGCTCAAGCCGTGTGTCACGCCCAGTCAGCTCCGCTACTCGGGTCTACACCGCGGCGCTCCTACCCATATCCCAGTGGGAGGCGCCTCTCTCTATTCCTGCGGAATGGGAGAAGGCTACCAACAAGCAGCAGGTGCTGGCCACGGTCAGCATAGGCCATCTCCCACTGTGGGCGAGTCGCCCGACTTCACCGGCATACGTCGCACTCGGTGCCGTCATGTCAAGCCAGAGGCGGACATATTGCAGCGACGAAGTTCAGGCTCTGCTGGACAAGTCCATAATCGGCGCATTCCACGGGGAGAGGAACAGGCGGGATTTTATTCCACGTACTTCCTCGTCGAAGAAAGGCGGCGGGTTTCGTCCGATTCTCAACCTCAAGGGGTTGAATCGCATGCTTTCGAAGTACCATCCTTCAAGATGGAGACACTGCGCTTCGGTGATCTCATCTGTTCAGCCCGGCGATTGGCTCCGTCAATCGACCTAAAGGATCGCGTATCTGCATGTACCCATACATCCATCGTTCAAGCAGTACCTTCGGTTCTCTTACGGCGGGATGTATTACCAATTCAGGGTGCTCCCCCGCCGGCATATCGACTGCCCCAAGGGTGTTCACCAAGCTCATGTTAGTCCCAGCTACCCTAGCTTCGCTCGCCAAGGAAGGCGTTGTTACCCTTACCTAGGCGACTGGTTGCTCGGAGCACTAACACAGCCAGCGAGTCAAGATGCTACTCACACAGTGATAGACATTCTAACTTCGACTGGGGTGGATCATCAACCTCAAGAAATCCGACCTGGTACCCACCCAGGACTTGGTTTTCTTGGGTAGCGATTCAAGCGAACAAGGATCTCGTTTCCTTGTAAGCCCGACCGGGTCACCAGAGTTCGGAGATGGTATCTTCATTCCTCTCCCAGCCCCAGGCACCAGCACGGACTTGGCTCCGTCTACTGGAGCCATATGGCGGCGGCGATCTCTGTAGTGTGCGGTGGCGGTTGAGATCGTCCCATACAGCAAGCTTTGGCTCGGCTGTGGACTCACCGCGGAGGATCTGGGCGCAGTCTCACAGTCCCAGTGGTTGACACCTCACCTTCAGTGGTGGACAAATGTCGGGGAATCTCACCAGGGGTTCCCCTTGGAAATCCGGCGCCAGCTCTCACAGTTCAGACCCGATCGTCCCTCACGGGCTGGGGGTGTTCTGGGCAGTCTGTCGGCTTCCGGACTCTGGTCGAAGCGAAGCCCACCTTCACATCAGCGTGTTGGAACTGAGAGCTGTGCGGTTGGTATTGGCTTCAGAGAGCATGTCCGTGGCCAGGTAGTCCGTCTTCAGTTAGACAACCAGGCGGCCATGTCGTACATCCTGAAGCAGGGGAGGCGCGGTGTCCCCAAGCTCCTCCGGGAAGCGTGGGACTTTCTCCTCTGGTGCGACCAATGCGATTGTCAGGTACTCCCTGTTTATCTCCGGGGCTGGAGAGCGTCGCGAGCAGATCGGCTCTCTCGCGGATCCTGGCCCCCCTGCAGTGGATGCTTTCGACAGGCAGATATTCACAGTAATCTCCCCAGTTATGCGGTCGTTCGAGGTGGATCTGTTTGCGTCGGCGGGGCGCATCAGACACCCGTGTTCTGCTCTCGGATACGGACCCAGAGGCGTTGGCTGCCGGCGCCTTCCTGCTGGATTGGCCGGGCAAAGTGCTCTGGGCGTTCCCGCCGTTACCACTCATTCCCGTGTCCTTTCACAGCTGTCCACCCAGCCAGCTCGGCTACTTGTGCTACTGGCACGCTTTGGCCGTCACAGAGCTGGTTTCGGTAATTCTCAGGTTTCTGGCTCAGCCTCCTGTTCTATTACCTTTGCGACCCGGACATTCTCACTCAGAGCGGGGCCCACCCAAATCCCGCGGATTCAGTGGGTGGCTTGGCCTCTGTCAGGTCTAACCTCGAGAGCCGCAGCGAATTCCTGCAGCAGTTGCAGACACAATTCTGGCCGGTGGGATTCGACAAGCGTTCGATGCGAGGATAGGTGGTCCCGCTATGCTGGCGCTGGTGTTCAGATAGGGGATTGCAGATCCCTTTTCTGCGGATTTAGTCAGTATTGGAGTTTTTGCAAGCTCGTTTGGAAGAAGGCCTGGCGGCCGACCATTAGCGGCTACTCCACGCTATTTCCACTTTTCACACCCTGTCGATGGTGCTCTTCTGGGGCAGCACCCTCTCGTCTGGCAGCTTTCTGCTGGCTGGCGGAGCGGATTCGACCTGCTCTCAGGCGAACCAGTCCACCTTGGGATTTGTCGATCGTGCTTTCGATTGGCTGTCGGTCCCACTTTCTCACACCTATCGGCTATTTCCATTCAGTTGTTGACCTGGAAAGCTGTTTTCTGGTGGCGGTAACATCTGGTCGTAGGGTCGGCGATTTACATGCTATGTCGTCCGACCGGCTGACTGTGTTTCACTGCGGATCGTGTCAGTATTAAGCCTCCCAGATACTTACCGACCGAAGGTCGATCCAGCTTTCCATGTGACAGCTCCTATCGAACTTCCTACTCTTACCCAGCCTTCCACATCGGGGACCACTCCTCTGAGCACTCACCCGTTGGATGTCCGTAAGGCGCTCAAAGTCTATATCAAGCGAGCGCAGGGGAATCGTGCGGGTACCCAGCTGTTCTGTTATACGGTGGCGGGAAGGCTGGTCTGCCAGCGAGCAAGCAGACTTTGTCACCAAGCTGGCTAGTCTCGTATTTGTGCGGCTTATCAGGCTAAGGGCAAGCCTCCCCTGAGGGGTTGAAGGCTCACTTTCGGTCAGGGCAGTAGCAGCCTCAAAAGCTTTGCATCGGCACTCCCCATTGAAGAGATCTGCTCCGCCGCTATTTGGAGCCGGCCAAGCGCGTTTATCGCCATTATCAGCTCGTCGCATTCCGTGTCGTGCGAGCTTTGGCCGTACTGTTCTCTCCAGTGGACAGTGTCCTGCCACCCTGACCGAGTGAGTCTTGGTTTATTGGTTTGTTTTGGGCTACTGTACAATAATTCCATTATTGACATGTCTGCTACTGTGTGCTCACTCAGAGAACCTGTACCCCCTTCGATTCTCTCACGGAGTTACTATATCGTTAGTGAGTGGTATTTTGCATTCCCCTACGGTGCTCTTATGTAAAAGCCACTTAGTGGGTGGGGATTCATTGACATTAGCACTCGTGCAATGTCTCATTATGCTAGTGAGGTAGATCTTTGAGCACAATTCCTCCCTGTCAGTTCCCCTCCCATAATGCCTCTGCGAGGCGAAACTGGGACAAGTGACAGGTGAGTGTTATGGCGTCTGTTCAATTTTTTCCATGATCACGATCGCTATATTTGTGTGTGCTTGGACAGAATTCCCTCCTCCCTGGCCTCCGGTCTTTGGGAGTCTGTGTTTATGCATAATATGTACCCCAAGGGCGATCTCTCTGAAAAGAATTAACCAAACCTGCAGAGGTTTTCAATTCTTTGAAGAGAGTAGATCCTTGAGGGTAGAAACCTCCCGCCTCCCGCAATTCTGTTCACTGATATATTCAGCAGAAGGAATGATGATACGGGTCTAGGAGCCTACCCAGTTGAAGTGCGCATGCGCTAAGGGAGGTAACTCCGTGAGGTAGGGGCATTATAATAAATAAAAGAGTTTATTTATTGTTCAATCTTTTTATTCAAAAACATTGATACAACTGTCACAGGACATTTTCAGCCGGAAAATGCATAATATGTACCCAAGGGCGACTCTCTTCAAAGAATTGAAAACCTCTGCAGGTTTGGTTAAATTTTTGCCTCGCGGCCATTCCCGTCAGGGACACACACGAGGTGTGCTTACGTTGCCTCACCCAAATTGAGCATGAGGAAGAGGGGTGTGTGGCATGTGCCACTTTTACGCCTCAAACGATTCGAGCACGACGAGTGGATCAGCTGTTCTACAGCAACCTGATTCGGGCGGGGGGTGATATCTGGGCACAGGATCCCCCGTCCAAGCGTTCGCCTGGTGCCCTGACTGGCAGTCGCCTCGGCACTGCCCAGCTCGTGGACACCTCGGCGCCTGGCAGCCAGTCTGGGTTGCCCAGGAGGCCTGTCGCGGCAGGTTCCTCTTGGCGCCAAAAGGCGACTCAGGCGAGTTCTGCCCAGCTGTTGAGGCGGGAGTGCCGAGGATTATGCTCATGGAGGGCTTTGGCTTTCGTCTCTGAGGCAGGTGCGGGAAAAAATTGCCGAAGCCCTGCCCCAGGTGGCCGTTCCCACACAGGCGCTCGACCCCGCGGAGTTTCGGCTCCCGGGGAGGCTTTCGCGCCTACCAAGGTCGCCGAGGCGCGCGCCCGCATTCTACCATCACTGGTAGGTGAGGTGGTAAATCCTCTCTTGACTGGTTCTCGCTCGAGATTTGATCTGCCCGACGTTGGCAGGAGGTACCAGTTGGGAGAGGAGGCGCTTTTCGAGCCGCCAGTGGTGGACGAGTGTGTCTTTGCGTCCGTTACTTTGGGGGGATCGTCCTCGTCTTCCCTGGCCTCGGCCAGGCAGGGCAGGCGCCTCCCCCCTTTTCCTACTAATTCCCTTACGCTGAAGTCTGCGTAGCGGTCCTTCGAGGAGTGCTACCGGTGCGCAGCCCAGCATTTAAAGGTGGCGGTCCACTCAGCCTACCTGTCTGCTCTGCAGGGGCAGCTGGTGGACCAGAGCGCTTGTGACGCCGACTTGTCGGCGCCAGTGCTCGCGCGGCAGCTCACGGGGGTACACTCACATCTGGCTCGGGATAGCATTAGGTGCTGTGCCAGTCAGATGATGGGTGCCGTGATGGGCCTCGCGCCTGTGGTTGTCTGTGGCGGTATTCACCGGCCACGCAACAAGCGCTCCTGTCATTGCCCTATACCATGGGATCTTCCCTGTTCCCTGGGGCATTGCAGGTTTATGCGGGGAGGCAGCGGAGGCTGTTTCTACCTTCAAAGACTCTAAGCCTTTGTTGGAGCAGCCCTCCGGCTCCTGCGCCACCGGCCTTCCCGCTTCGCTTCCGCTTATCCTTCTGCCCGGCGAAGGATGCTGCAAAGTGGACTGCCCTTTGCAGTCAAGCGAGCAGGCAGGCGCAGGCAAGGCAAGGGCAGGCCTGCTCAAGCTCAGCAGCCTTTTCGGGGCAAGGGGAAGCCAGCCCGGCTTCCCACTGATTCCTTCCCCAGAGCCCTTATTGCCCCCACTCACGCATGGCGGAGACTTGCCGACTGTGGGGTGCACTGCCTCATGCCACACGTCCCTGTCGGCGGCCGGTTGTCCCTATTCCTCCGGGAGTGGGAGGCAGCCACCTCAAATCCCTGGGTCCTGTCCACGCTCAGGGATGGCCATTTGCCACAGTGGAGGCGAGATCCTCCGTCCTTTCTCGGGGTTCGGGCTGCGCCTGTGCCGACCTCGCGACAAAGCGGGCCAGCTCCGTGCGAAGTTCAGTCCTTACTGAACAAGGCAGCCATCGAGTGGTTCCTGTGGGTCAACAAGGAGAGGGTTTTATTCCACCTACTTCCTAGTGACCAAAAAGGACGGAGGGTTCAGACCCATTCTGAATCTCAGAGGGTTGAACCAGTTACTGGAGGTGCCGTCTTTCAGGATGGAGACACTCAGGTCAGTGATCTCCTCCGTCGAGACAGGGGATTGGCTTACGTCAATCGATCTCAAAAGCGCATACCTCCATGTTCCAATGCACCCGAGTTCAAGAAGTACCTCGGTTCTCCTTCCGGCGGGGCGTGCTACCAGTTTAGCGTGCTCCCCGCCGGCATCTCCCGCGGCCAAGGGTGTTCACCAAACTTATGCTAATCCCAGCTCAGTTAGCCAGGTCTCAGGGCAGGTGTTGTCACCCGTACCTGGGCGATTGGCTTCTCAGGGCCTTAGGTCCTCAGTTAAGCAGAGCCTCCACACTGTGCGTGATGGATACTCTGGTGTCACTGGGCTGGATTATCAACCTCAAGAAATCAGACCTCGTTCGGCGCTTGGGATCTGATATTCTTGGGGGCCAGATTCAACAGAGCTAGGGATTGTTTCCCTTGCTCCGGACCTTATCGTCAAAGTCAGAGGACTGTTACACAGTTTCTCCAGTAAGCCCAATCGTCAGCCCGAACATGGCCGGTTGCTAGGCAACATGGCGGCGACAGTGGGCGTGGTTTGGCGTCTTGGCGTCTGAGGATCGCGACCAGTTCAGCAAGCGTTAGCTCAGCTGTGGTCCCACTCGCAGAGCTCACGAGATTATTCTCCACAGCGCCCGAGTGGTTAATTCCTCACTTGCGATGGTGGGCCGGACGTCGGGAATTTGTCAGGGGATCCCCTCGACACCCGACACCTTCCCTCTCAGTTCAGGCGGGCCTCCCTCACAGGTTGGGGGTCCTGGGCGAGCACTCAGCCTCCGGCCTCTGGTGGGGGCGGGGAAGTCAACCTACACATCAATGTGTTAGAACTGAGAGCAGTCCGCGGGGTGTTCGAGTGCTTCCGGTGTTGGTGCAGGGCCGTGTGGTTCGTCTAGAAATGGACAATCAAGCGGCCATGTCTTACATTCTCAAGCAAAGGCGGCACAGTGTCTCCGTCGGCTCCTTCAGGAGGCGTGGCAGTTTCTACTGTGGTGCGATCAGTTCAACATTCGGGTTTTGCCTGTTTATCTCCGAGGGGTAGACAGCGTCCGTGCAGATGCACTCTCCGCGGCGTATACTAGCCCCCGCAGTGGATGCTTTCGACCGGGAGATATTCGGGATTATCTCCCAGTTGTTGGTCGTTCCAGGTGGATCTGTTTGCGTCTGGGGTGGCGAACCAGATTCCTGTGTTTTGCTCGGATTCGGATCGGGGCGTTAATAACGGCGCCTTTCAGCTCGATTGGCCGGACAGGGTACTGTGGGCGTTCCCCGATACCACTGATTTCCAGGGTCCTGTCACAGCTGACCGCACAACCAGCTCGGCTACTTGTGCTTCTGGCACCTTTGGTCGGCACAAGCGCTGGTTTCGGTAATTCTCAGGTTTCTGGCTCAGCCTCCTGTTCTATTACCTTTTCGACCCGGACCTCCTATCCCAGAGCGGGGCCCACCGAATCCCAGGATTCAGTGGGTGGCCTGGCGCTGTCGGGGATGCGCCTCGTGCGGCGGAATTCCTGCACCAGTTGCAGACACAATTCTGGCCAGCGGAGGGATTCGACAAGCGTTCAATATGAGGATAGATGGGCCTGTTATTGGCTGGTGTGTCAACAGGGGATTCTTGATCCCTTTTCTACAGATTTAGTCTGTGTTTTAGAATTCCTCCAGTCTCGGTTGGGCCGGTCTAGCGGCTTCAACTGTTGAGGATATTCTACAGCTATTTCTGCGTTTCATATTCCTGTTGGCGGTGCTCTCTTGGGGCAGCACCCTCTTGTACAGCGCTTTTAGCGAGGCGTGGACAGAATCCGTCCGGTTGTCGGCGGATTAGTCCCGATGGGACTTGTCAATCGTTCTTGATTGGCTGTCCGGTCCACTGTTTCACAATCTGTCGGCTCTTTCCTCCAGCTGTTGGCGTGGAAGGCGGCGTTTCTTGTGGCGGTGACTTCAGGCGAAGCGGGTTGGCGATATTCGCGCAATGTCGGCCGATCCAGCTTACTGTTTTCACAAAGACAGAGTTAGCATCGGCTGCCTGATACTTACCGTCCTAAGAAGGATAGTCCCTTCCATGTGGCCGAAGCCTATTGAGCTCCCAGCTTTCACTCAGCCTTCCTGTCGGTACCTCTCTACGGCGTGCTCCGTCTTAGATGTCCGTAAGACACTTAAGGCTTATATCAAGCGAACAAAGGGGTACCCGTAAGGGTAACCAATTGTTTTGTTGTTATGGCGGGGTTCAGGCTGGTCTTCCGGCGACCAAGCAAACCATTTCTCGGTGGCTTGTCTCTGCCATACATATGAGCTATACTCAAACAGAGTATCCGCCTGTAGGGTTGAAAGCTCATTCGGTTAGGGCAGTTGCTACATCGAAAGCTTACGCTGCAGCCCTGCCCATTGAGGAGATCTGCTCAGCGGCTATTTGGAGCCGTCGAATGCGTTCATCCGTCATTACCAACTTGACAGACTCTCCAGTGGCGTGCTTTCGGTTCGGTCAGTCAGTTCTCTCCAGTGGGCATGGTTCCACCTCTCTAGCCGATTGAGCTTTCGAGGAATTATGTGAACCATTCTATGCCAAATTTTTTAACACTGGTGTTGGGTTTTAAAATCTTGTTTACATATTCCCTTGGTGGCCGGGTTTTATGTGGTGATGGTTTTATTCCCATGTCTTTTGCATTCTGCTCTAGACTTTACTGGCCTTGGAAGCTTTGCTAAATATATACATATTAAGGCATTTCGTTTCTGGTGGCTTATTATTGCGGGACCCTTATCTTGGCTTCGAGTAGATTACGGGAAGGAGGGAGGGTGTGTCTCGTTAGTTTGCTTTAGCGAGGTTTTAGCTGGGCAATTTACATATGTTGACCCTGACCCTGGCTCATGCCCCGCCTGATTGGCTATGGTGGACCGTGACCCGGGTAAGTGTGCTTTTCTGCTATAATTAGCTTGGGAAATTCCACTTCTTGTCGGGGTGTTTTCTGCAGACAGAATGCGGCTCCTTAGCTCCGTCTTTAGGAGTCTGTCTTATGCTTATAAGTACCCCAAGGAGGAATATATAAAAAGAATCGAACTAACCTGTAGAGGTTTCAGATTCTTTGAATATATTCCTCCTTGCAGAATTCTCTCCACCACCCTCCCCACATTCTGTCTGATGTGGTTCAGCATGGAAAGTGAGGTGCGAGGTTACGGTCTAGAGTTACCTGCTCTTGGCTGTAGGGGGCCAGAGGGCCCTGTAAGGGTGGTGTCTCACAAGACAAAGCGTAGTTTTGTTTTGTAAATATTTTTTATTCAAATATTATTTTACAACTGTAAGTAGGGATTTTAAATGGACATTTAAATGCTTATAAGTACCCCAAGGAGGAATATATTCAAAGAATCTGAAACCTCTACAGGTTAGTACTGCATTGTTTAGTCCACCTCAGAACTGCATTGTTTAGTCCACCTCAGTACTGCATTGTTTAGTCCACCTCAGTACTGCATTGTTTAGTCCACCTCAGTACTGCATTGTTTAGTCCACCTCAGTACTGCATTGTTTAGTCCACCTCAGTACTGCATTGTTTAGTCCACCTCAGTACTGCATTGTTTAGTCCACCTCAGTACTGCATTGTTTAGTCCACCTCAGAACTGCATTGTTTAGTCCACCTCAGTACTGCATTGTTTAGTCCACCTCAGTACTAGTATAGTAGTGCAAGTTATAGCCTTGAAATTTTATTTTAATTTTCTTTAAAAAAATAGCTTTTATGATTATTAAGGAGCTGGTGAAATTTGTATAAAATATTGACAGGAAAGGTATAGTTACCAGAGTTATCCCCCTTCCAATTATCATCTGCTTCCATTCGAGCTGAGCAGGTCAGTGGTTCTCTGTCACTGTCAACAGATTAGATTAAGGGTCCCAAAGCAGACCATGTTTTTCTGTGCAGGTGAGGGGACAGTGTTTGCTTGGTGTCAAATGTCCAACATGATTGCTCACATACTTTGTCTCCCAAAGAAATATGAAAACAAAATTCTGTATGTATGTCACAATCTCTTACTGATAAGCAGAGGGCCTAGATTCTGAACCATGTACACCAGTTATTCATTACTGCAATGTAATTCAATAGCCAGGTCATCTTACTTGTGTGTTTTCTAGGCTCGGATCCTTGGCACTTCTCCAGAAAGTATCGACAATGCGGAGAATCGGTTCAAGTTCTCCCGTATGCTGGACAACATGGGGATCAGTCAGCCGATGTGGAAGGAACTCTCCACTTTGGAGGTACATTTGCACCTGTAGGAGGGTATTGAGTCATCCCATTGATGACATCCTTACCTTGTCAGACTGATGACGGGTTGACCTCTTTGGTCATGTGGACATCTTCAGATCAAAAGGTCCTTGGTTTAAATCCCAGTATAGGACTATGCTACACTAGCTATGAGTGTGAAGCTGATTCTACTATTACCCTGTTCTAAGTGACAAGGTCATCTAAAAATGTCCATATTATTCCGCTAAAATCTTTGGAAATTGTACTACAACTAATGATATTCAGTAGTCTGAGGGTAGGGCTGATAATGTCTGAACTTATTTTGATTGAGCCACACACTGAGATACAGTTTAAAGATGATCTAATATCAACTTGGAGCCGGCCAGTCCCTTAGTTTCTTTTCAGCCAAGAGCCAGGCAGGGTGACAAGAAGTACCATCTTTGAACGTCTATTAGTTTGATCGGGAAAGGGGATAGAACCATGGGCTTCCACTCTTTGAAGATCTGAGCCGACATATTGCCATATTGAATTGTCATTTTGTACTATTCCTCAATCATTTCTTCTTGTTTCAGTATGGAATATTTTGCTTTTGTGTTTTCATCAAAACTTCTGGTACTTTTTTTGTAATCTTGTTTAACCTTTGATTCCACGATCCAATATTGCCAGTCAGCCAGAAATATTCAGAGTCTTCGGATAAGTGGTCTTGGGCTCTATTTTATTATAATGGTATCTTTTTAAAAAATCTGGTAAATTTTTTCTTATCCTGACTCATAATCTTTTGCTTATCTCCCTTTCCCTTGCGAATGGTAGTGGAACACTTGAATCCCTTGAAGTTCCCGAGGCGGACGTAAAAATACACTCACCCACGAGTAACCTCCCTTTTGCCCTTCCCGCGCAAACAGTCATGTGACCAGCCTTACTTGTCACTCTCTCCCTTTTCGCCCAAGTGGATGGTTGGGCGAGCACTGGAGTCCCGTATACGGCATTATATCCTTTTTATTTAGGTCCTTTTCTTTAAAGTTACGCTGTGCATGGATTTGGCTATAACTATATTGTATTATATGTAAACATTTTGTAAAACTTAATTGTGTTTGTGTCATAATTTCATCGTTATGTAACTTGTTTACATTTCATGAAATCTTGCAGTGTTTGCAGGCACAGGTTATCCGTGGCTGATCCTCACCCCCAATGCCCTTCGTACATCAATCCATGTTCTTCCAGCTTGCGCTGTACTTATTGTGTTGATTTATCAAATCTACAATTTAATCAACATTTGTCTTATATCTATAGACGTGCCATGGATCGGGTGAGAAAGTCATCTCAAGTCTCATCAGCCTGCAAACCGTATGTTGCTTGCTACTGCGGAGATTCATAATACTGGTGCTATGTTGAGTACGTTGCAGGGGCAGTCTGCTGGTACGGGGGCCAAGAAGAGATCGGCTACAACGCAGTTGACTCCGACTCAAGCTAAGAAAAAGAGAGAGAATCTACAGATAGAGGTTCACGAAGAGAGGACTCTCAAGATAGACGTTCGCAAAGGGAGGAATCTTCAGACAGAGGTTCGGGAAAGGATGATGGAGTTTCCAGAAGGGATACAGGTTCGCACATGGATGATCCGCGGAGGCCTAGTTCTACTAATCAGGAGATACTGGATGAGCAAGCAGACTTCGTCTTCCCAGACGCAGACGTTACAGCTTGGATTGCTAATGGGTTGAGCTTGGAGTCTCCTTCTAAGGATAAAGATGAAGTCTACACTTATATGATGCTAAACGATGACTTTGACTCGGTCACTATCCCTCCAATTGAACCTATATCCAAGGTACCCTCCAACCTAAAGCATCCAAGATCCAGAGTCAGCATCTGCCATCATTTAATGTGAAGAGAATCCCCTTACATCATATGGATGCATTTATAAAGGAGCCTGAATGGGATGATAACATGAAGTTAGTCAACGACTCTCGGAACAAGACTTAGAAAGTGGAAGATAAAACGTTATCCCAACTTGATACTGCTACAAGGAGATCCTTTTTCGGGTTGGCCAGGTCCAGAGCCATCAATTAAGCATTGATCAATAAATTCCAGAACTCAAGTTCGGAGAGGACAGAATGATATACTCGGCGCTGATAACTCAGAAGAAGGACCAATACTTTTTATCGGACCATCTGGCATCTATATGTGCAGGTCTCACTTTACTACGCAGACAAGGTCTACTTGCATACTGTTCATGGAGTGATAGATTCACCCAACCGCTATTGAGAGCTCCATGGGAGGTGCCTACTATCTTTGGAGGACAAATAGACAATGCAGCCAAGGAAGCTACACACGACTCTAGAGAAGTTATGATGATAAAATCCATAGATACTCTGGCCAATGTCATCCGTCATACTTCGCAAAAGTATAACAGCAAGTCCAAATATTCCGGCATACAGAAGGCAAAGGAGAAGAAGTACTCCAGCTTCAGAGGCGGCAAAGGGTCCTTTGTCGTCCATCCGGAAATTACAGAGGAAACTCAGGGAGACGCCGCACTCCCAGAGAATCCAGAGGTACTAGACGCTGATATTGTGGTTCGCGGAACGACTGGAATCTTCCGACCCCAGCCGTTCCTGTAAAACCATCTACAGTGGGTGGACGTCTACAAAGGTACTGGAAAAATTGGGGAATACTTGAGGACGACATCTCCCAAGTACTGCGAGAAGGATACAGAGTACATCTCAAGGCCACACCTCCGCTAACCCTCAGCCCGATGGTCTTCGACTATGCAGAGGAGCAGGCAAACAAACTACAAGAAGCCATCAACTCACTACTTATGAAACAGGTGCTAGAGATAATAGATCAGCATCATCTCACTCTAGGCTTATATTCCCCAATTTTTCTAGTACCCAAGAAGAACTCCAAGAAGAAGTTCAGACTGATTTACAACATGCGGAACTTAAACAAAGACTATCTACTGAAACCAGAGAGGTTCAGAATGATCCACCTACCTCAACTCTGACTACTCGTCCGTCCAGCAGATTACACGGCCAGCATAGACCTGCAGGATGCGTATCTACACATCCCCATACATCTGGCAGGGGTTCAAATGGTTTTTTAAAAACCACTTACCACAGGGCAAGTGACTTTAAGAAATTAACTTGTCCTGACTAATTTTCCACTTGCCCAGATTTTATGACATAATTATGATGATGTAATTATGAAAGAATAAATCAACATGGTATTTGATGTTAATGTTTACTGGACTATTTATTGAAAAGTGATAAATAGCAAAGAAAGATACTACTTTATTATCATTGCGAAATTTAATAGCTACATTTTGAGCAGATATGAAATTAAATCAAAGTTTATTTGCAGTTTGAAACCATAAGTGGAAATTATCTAGTAGCCCACGGACAAGTAAGATAACATTATTTGATTGCCCGAAATGAAAACTGACTTGTCCCCGGGCGTCGGGCGATGCGATTTTTGAACCCTTGATCCGGAATCAAGAAAGTATGTGCGATTCCTATTCAGAGGGCAGCACTTCCAATGGAACATCCTACCGTTTGGAATATCTTCGGCCCCGTGGCTATTCACACGAGTAACCAAGCCTGTAGTCGCATATCTACATCATCGAGGTCAACAGAATACCTTCTACTTGGACGACGGCATTCAGGTTCACCAAAGTTCCAGTCAACTCAGACTACAGCTGAACTTCACAATCAAATTACTCACTTCAAAAGACTAAGACAAGGAGACAAAAATTCAAGAACCTGTTCATCCCATTATCAGCAGAGACATCAGCAGAAGTCTCAAGAACGAAGATATCGTTCTGGATGAGAGACGTCATATTGAGAGCCTATAAAGCAGCAGGACTAGAACCTCCTAGAGCTTCCAACCCACACAAAGTCAGAGCACTGGCGTCAACATTGGCTGTGCACGGAAATTGCTCTATATCAGCAATTATGCAGGGCTGCTTTTGGAAGTTGGACACAGTGTTTGCCAACCACTACCTCGGAGACATAGCCACTGAAGACATCTGAGGCATTCACCAATTTGGACCTCTCGATTTAGCACAGCAACTAACGGTTCCTCAAAGGCGCTGAGTTAGAAAATTTCACCCTTTACCACGTTGACCTGTTGATAACTTTTACTAAGGAAAAGTCCATGCGCACAGTCTAGGACAGGCTAGCATGAGTGATTAAAGATCCTGTACGGGTAAAGATCTTACCTGTACGTGAAGGGGTCGCAACTCATTTATGATAAAGATCTTATCATAATCTATGGGTTGTTATAAGATATCTAGTAATAAGAAGATACTAGTTTATTTGAAGCCACATGAATCAACATGATTCAACTTGTTGAGACTGAAGTAAAACAAGAAAGTGGTCCCCCCGAGCTATAACTGAAGTTGGAAGAATAGGATCTAGGAAATGCCGTTTTGCAGTTCCCATGGGTGGGATACAGGACGTATCTAAGGACAGCTGATGAATCCACGAAGTGGCTTGACCCACCACCAATCTGACGAGAAGCCCTCCCAACCTCCCCGCTGGAAACACTTAGGATTTCACAGCAGATCCAAGTGCATGGGCAGAAAAAATCAGGAGAGAGTGAAAAGTAAGGCTGGTCACATGACTGTTTACATGGGAAAGGGCAAAAGGGAGGTAACTTGTGGCTGAGTGTATATTTACGTCCGCGTCGGGAACTTCAAGGCATCCAAGTGTTCCACTACCATTCGCCAGGGAAAGGGAGATAAGCAAACGATCACGAGTCACGATAAGTATAAAAATATCAAGTTTACTTGAAAAATTACATTTTTTGTCAAGCACAGTTTGTTTTGAGGTTCTAACGTGTGTGATCTGCAGAGTGCCCGGAAGTTCTGTTCGGAAGTCAGCTACCCCTGTCTGGTGCGACCCTCCTACGTGTTGAGTGGCGCAGCGATGAACGTGGCCCACACACCCCAGGATCTGGAGACATTCCTCACGCAGGCCAGCGCTGTGTCCAAGGAGCATCCAGTTGTCATCTCCAAGTTCATCCTGGAAGCTAAGGTAATTCTCAGTTGTTAATGACTGTTGTTACTCGTTAGTGCTGCCTCACACACATTTCTCAACATCTGTAAACACAGATCTCCTCAGCATGATACAGGTGGAGGCATGAAGTGACCCAGTTGTCAAAGTAGACAGAGTTGCTTCCCTTAGCTGTAACAGAATTGTGTAATCACAGGCACTAGAATGTAATAGCTTTGAACAGTGATAGATGTTTTCTGCCAACATTTAGTAATCTAAGACCCACCTGCATCAGTGTTCCTATGTAATGCTATTGATACAATTTACTAAGGCCCTAAATCTGACTTTACTTTGATTCACAGCATACCACGTTCCAACAAGATATTCAGCTCAACTTTTGATTAGGATATTGTCATTATTCAAGCAGGCACTACAGTCCGTTTGAGTCAGAAACGGACCGATGAATAGCAAATTTTATCATTGTACAAAATTGCCACATAAATATAAATAGTACACATGTTTATCATTTACTAATACCCAACAGCTTTCTTATATTTGAAAATTTTCCGGACTCCACCAGAAAAGGTCTTTAAGAAACTATCATTCAAATTTTGACACAGTTCACTATTTGTTACGAGGGAGGAGTGCAGAGAAAGGGACAGCCAGGTGTGCAAGAAAGGATGGAGACGGCACAGCACAGGCTAATGAATCAATAACTTGGTGGGAACTTGTGCACGTGCTTCTCTAACACCTGGCTGTCCCTTTCTCTGCACTCCTCCCTCGTAACAAATATTGAACTGTGTCAAAATTTAAATGATAGTTTCTTAAAGAACATTTTTGGTGGAGTCCGGAAAATTTTCAAATATAAGAAAGCTGTTGGGTATTAGTAAATGATAAACGTGTACTATTTATATTTATGTGGCAATTTTGTACAATGATAAATTTGCAATTCATCGGTCCGTTTCTGACTCAAACGGACTGTAAGTTGGTTTTTGATGTGCCCAGGGGATGTAACTCTTCACAGCAAAATGCGGTAACTTAGACAACGTAGCCACTCACCCATTTCACTCTTATGAAGAGGGTTGTGGCATGATATGAAAGTACCTTCATGAAAATATAATTATTTATTATTATTTTCACCTGCGCTGAAATTCTCCTGCAGGAGATTGACGTTGATGCTGTCGCCTGTGATGGGGAGGTAGTCTGCATGGCTGTGTGCGAACACGTGGAAAATGCAGGTGTACATTCAGGGGATGCAACTCTCGTGACCCCACCTCAGGACTTGAATGATGAGACATTGGCAAAGATCAAAGCAATTTGTTGCGCTATTGGTCGAGCTCTGGAGGTCACTGGACCATTTAACCTTCAGCTCATTGCCAAGGTAATTACATTTAGATTTTCATGTCTATACCACATTTGGTATCATCATCCATTGTGACAAATATACCTTCATCAGGTTGGAACATAAAATTATGAAATTCAATTTAAAATATTATTGTCGTTATGTTATCCGGTTTGCATATAAATGAGCGTCCATATTTTAGTCATGTAATATGTTTTTAGTGATAAAGTTCATGATGCAGAATAAATATGTGACTTGACAAGATAATTCTGTTTCCAGGACAACCAACTGAAGGTCATCGAGTGCAATGTGAGAGTCTCAAGGTCATTCCCTTTTGTATCCAAAGCATTGGACAAAGATTTGGTTGCCTTGGCAACAAGAGTGATTACGGGGGAAATGGTCGACCCAGAAAACATCCTTCAAGGTTGTGGAAGAGTGGCAGTCAAGGTGGGTGGCAATGGTGACCAGAAATTGGTTTAAAATTTGAAACTAAAATTTTTTTCAGTCACAAAATCAGTTTCAGTCTAAAATAAATCTCATCTGGCATTGATTATAATTGATCAGTGGACTATGACTGTGGACCACCAAATACCTTCACACCATGTTAGTCACAGAAGATGTTTTGTCTTCAAATGTGTTGATGATTTTGCCATGTTTGAAGTGCTATTTGTCTTGTGGACCTGCTTATGTCACATCCTGTTAAACGCAGTGAAGCAGATGAGGGACTAGGTGTGTTACAGTACAGGCAAATCACGATTAGTTGAATGCCGGTGTCACGAATAATACTCATAACTCGAAGTACCTGTCGGTCCCGACCAGTCCCTGTTGTAGTTGTCATCATTTGATTTCCGGTTACACGAATTCGTCTCATAAATACACACGATGACTCAAGAAGGAAATTTGGTCCCATGAGATTCAAACAACAGCAATCTTGTGTTCATAAGCCGAAGTCAGTCATTGAGAAGTTAATTGGTGTAGCTTACTGATCCAATTAACAAACCAGCGCGGCTCACACCTTTCCACCATTGACGGGTGAGTTCAAAAGGCAGATTAGTGATTGTACGGAAACGGAAGAATTAGCACATGACATTGAGTTAACTCAATCAAAGGAACGCTGAACTGTCCTTGTCTGTGCTAATCAGACTGGAACTGATAAGGTGCCCCTATTAGTGATAGGGAAATCTACCAAGCCGCGTTGTTTTAAGAACGTCAGATCTCTGCCGACTTCATACTGTCACAACAAGTCTGCCTGGATGACATCTGATTTATTTGTGGATTGGGAAAAATCATTAGATAAACAAATGCTTAGGCGGAGGAATTAGGACTGGATCATCTTTTTTTCTACCCTCATAGACATACCTATGTCTGGAATAAATCGATAAGTCAAATTTATTACTTGGTCCCCAGCGATTCGACTCATCGGGATTTGACTGTATTTTGAAGTGCCATTGGTCTAAGGAACCTTCCTGTTTAACAAGTGCGCGCCCCATTAAAGTACATGATATACTGTTGTGGTGTTCTCCCCAGGTGCCGGTGTTCTCCTTCATGCGGCTGCAGGGTGCCGATGTGCTCCTGGGGGTGGAGATGGCCAGCACGGGGGAGGTGGCTTGCTTCGGGGAGGACAGATACGAGGCCTACCTCAAGGCCCAGATCAGTACAGGGGTGAAGATTCCCAGGAAGAATATCCTCCTGTCCATTGGAAGTTTCAAGGTTTGTGTGGAGAATGTTGTTGTTGTTGTTGTTGTAGTGGTGGTGGTGGTGGTTAATTCACCTGAAGCGATATAAAATCATTGATGCACAAACTCAGCTAATTTTCCTTTCTTTCAGTTACTGCATTCCTTTGAGTAAATTGTATATTATGCAGGATGTGCCCTGCAGTGAAAATACCCATGTTGATCTAAGACAGAGGGTTATCTCCCCTTATCCGATAATATCCGTCATATTGGACCTATCAGATTATGGGCACAATCACTGTCATATTGAGTGAGTGAGTGAGTTCAGTTTTACGCGCTTTTAGCAATATTCCAGCTATATCACTGCGGGGGACACCAGAAATGGGCTTCACACATTGTACCCTTGTGAGGAATCGAACCCGGGTCTTCGGCGTGACGGGCTAACGCTTTAACCACTAGGCTACCCCACCGCCCCTGTCATATTGAAATTGTATTTAGAAAAACTTGTTCTTCAGTGAACATAAAGTATTATCAGAAGTTTCCCGGGGTGACAGTTTGCTTTCCTTGATGTCAAAGAAAATATCTGATGTTTTGTCACTTCATGTGCTCAGAGAGCTTTGGTCTGTTAATAAGGATGTCAATCACAGAGTTAGAAGAAAATGAAATATTTTGAACATTGATAGTGTTTCTTGCCAGAATAGATGTCAGTTGTAGAATATATATGTAACATGCAATCTTTGGTTTGGATTTGATTTTATGTTTCACACAGGTACGCCTTTTTGTGTGTCACACACTTCTGTTCTAATGTCCTACTGTCATGCTCTGATGGTGTTTGGTCCTACTCTTTTTGTCTGTTTCTATTCTGTTGTGTTCTTCTGTTCAATTGTCAGGTTTTACTCTCCTGTTCTAGTGTCCCATTCTACTATCCTCTTAATCTGTTCTACTATTCTACTGTCCTCTTAATCTGTTCTACTATTCTCTTAATCTCTTCCACTATTCTTCTGTCCTCTTAATCTCTTCCACTATTCTACTGTCCTCTTAATCTGTTTTACTATTCTACTGTCCTCTTAATCTGTTCTACTATCCTCTTAATCTCTTCCACTATTCTTCTGTCCTCTTAATCTGTTCCACTTTTCTCTGTCCTCTTAATCTCTTCCACTATTCTTCTCTCTTAATCTGTTCTACTATTCTCTTAATCTGTTCCACTATTCTTCTGTCCTCTTAATCTGTTCAACTAGTCTAATATCCTCTTAATCTGTTCCACGATTCTTCTGTCCTCTTAATCTGTTCCGCTATTCTTCTGTCCTCTTAATCTGTTCCACTATTCTTTTGTCCTCTTAATCTGTTCCACTATTCCCCTATCCTCTTAATCTGTTCCACTATTCTCCTATCTTCTTAATCTGTTCCACTATGCTCCTATCCTCTTAATCTGTTCCACTATGCTCCTATCCTCTTAATCTGTTCCACTATTCTTCTGTCCTCTTAATCTGTTCCACTATTCTACTGTCCTCTTAATCTGTTCTACTGTTCTCTCTGTGTCACCCACAGTACAAGAATGAGCTGATCCCCACCGTGCGAACCCTCACCGAGATGGGCTACAACCTGTTTGCCAGCATGGGTACCGCTGACTTCTACAATGAACATGGATTCCAGGTATGGCTTGAGGGGGTCCTTACTGGTCACTATAATGCAGTGCTTTATCAGCTGAGAGTCTGGGTTTGATTCCCAGATCTGACTCACACCCAAAATAAACTTAATTCTTGTGAAGGAATAAAATATTTCTCTCCTCATGATAAGATAGACTGACTGATATTATGGTTTTGTTGAGTTCAGTGTTTGAGAATATGTGTTCCACCTATGACAGGCCCATTAATGATGCTTAATTTACCATTATGGCATTGAAAACAATGTAAAATATGTGTGAATTCCTGAGAAAATAAGTACTTTACAGAAAAACTGTCTGAAAATAATTACATAATTCTTAAATTGTCATTTAAAGGTGTTTTGTTCAAATTCCGGTACAACTCACTTCTAGCAGATGTTTCCGATTTATTTTCAAGATGCAGATTTTTCAATCAAGTGTTATCATTGGCTCCTTTAGGTGAAGGCAGTCGATTGGCCATACGAGGACACAGGCGAGAGCAAGAATGGTGCAGAGCAGCGTACTATTGCCGACTATCTGGCAGACAACATGTTCGATTTGGTGATCAACTTGCCTCTACGGAACGGAGGCTCTCATCGGGCGTCCTCGTTCGTCACCCAGGGTTACAAGACTCGGAGAATGGCAGTGGATTATTCAGTTCCCCTGATCACAGATGTCAAATGTACAAAGCTCTTTGTGGAGGTCAGTTACATGTTTTTTACTTCATTTGTCTAATTCTTTATGTCACTGTTGTTCTTAAACATTTTGTTGAATGGTATGGTTTAGGGAATGTTCATTTATCAAGGAGGGGTCAGGGGATTTTTATGCATTGTTGTACTGAGAGTAATGACCCTTTCCTCCTGATGTCATGTTTTGTGTGACCCTTCCCATGTCCTTTGTATTTTTTGTTACCCTACCAAACTATTTGTACTAATTTTAATGACCCTCCTCTAGAGACTGCAAACTTTCTGGTGACCCACCTATGATTTGCTTAGACCCACCTACACCTTACAATAAATCACTGTTCTCTTATTGCTGTTGAATCAGTGATATTTGCTATTTGTAGTACAGACAGTAGAAGATAACATGTTTATTATGATTCCAGGCGCTGAGGAGACGGAAGGGTGCTCCACCTATGAAGACGCACATTGACTGCATCTCATCACAAAGAATCGTCAGGCTCCCTGGTCAGTGAAATTGTTTATAATTACACATACCACGTTTTTATATTTATTCTGATTCAGACAGCAATCCATGGTCAGTCTGAAAGCACCCAGTTGTTCAGATTATCTAATGTTATCTGACATAAACTGTGGACAGCATCATGTACCTAGAAACTGACCAATCAGCATGAAGAATCTATTAAATGCACAGATAAAATATCAGAAATATATTCCGCCCATTCATACTTCCAATGTTTTACTTACTGTTATTGGACCGCCTCCGTGGTGTAGTGGTTAGGCGTCTGCCTGGAGAGCGGAAGGTAGCGGGGTTCGATCCCCGACCGCGTCATACCAGAAGACGTTAAAATATGGTATTTGTTGGTCCCTGCCTGACGCTCGGCATTAATGGGTACAACAAGGACTGGTCGGCTTGGAGTCAGTATAATGTTTCTGAGTGGGGTATTCATGCTTCACTGCGGCATGGTATCTCAGTGGGCTAGCACTATAAAACCAGCTTCAGTCTGGGTTAGTACAAGCAGCCGCACATACACATACACACGCATGCACGTCGTCATATGAAGCGAAATATTCTCAAGTACGACGTTAAACCCAATTTCACCTCACCTCACCTCACCTCACTTACTGTTATCCCTCTTTGCAAGCTGTTATCGAATAAAGACGCGTGAACGTCCGAGTGAGAATTGATCTTCAGCAACCATGCTTGTCCTAAGAGGCAAATAACCATTCGTGACCAACTCGTGTTATTCCGGGACAAGCCGAATAGCGACTCGTGCCCCTCTGGAAGGATTTCATATTGGCGCATGAACATCAGAACTACTTTAAAAAAGAACGATAACTCTACCCCTGTTTGATTCCAAAGTTTCTTAATATCACCGAAGCACATGTACATTGTATTGCTAGGTTGTTGGTGTTTGTTTTTTTTACTTATTTAGTTTAAAGAACTAAACCTCTTTGATACAACTAAAAGAAGGAGAAAAACATATTTGTTAAAGATATATTATAATGTAATTATTACCAGCTGTTCACCTTATATTTCCAATTATGTTAATTTTCTTAATAGTGTTTAATCATCACAAATGAATATATTATTGAATATACAAGAAAAAAATTCAGCTACATTAAATCCCAAAGCAGATACTCAAAAATGACTTTAAAATATTTCTCAAACTGAACACTCGTGTAACCTTGCTGTCACACCCCTGGTGGAATTTCAAATGAATTTGCTGAAAAAAATATGAATGACCAAAAAACACTCAGACTAAAATATCCCCAGAGCTATGAAATATAAGCCCAATGTTAAAGATTAAGGTTGATTAGTTACATACAAATACGATATTATTGTTTTGAAACTCGTAGCGATTATAATTACATTTCCTACAATTGGTCGGAGCGCCGCGTACAATCTCCATAACAAGCCCTTAAGATCGTCAGAAATACACTCAGTTGGACCCATGAGAGCAGTGATGTCAACAAACGCACGTGCGTGTATTTGAATCTCTCACCGTCAATCGCATGATTCTTATTAAAAAGTTCATAAAAGGCAGCAAAATCATTTTAGCTACGTTCTTTGTACTTTCAATATGACGATATATAATTTTCATGATGTTTAAACAGTGACATAATGCCATAAACGATTTAAGTACTCTGGATTATGTTTATCAAAGCACCGCGCTCATTTAGGCGCGTTCTGATTGGTTTGTCGTATTTTCGCACATAACAAGTATTGAGTGGGGGACGAGTCTTCTTGGAGGTTACAGAAAGGGGCGAGTGGTGACGAATGGCAAATAACGAGATCGGGTGGTCAGGCTTGCTGACCTGGTTGACACATGTCATCGTATCCTAATTGCGTAGATCGATGCTCATGCTGTTGAACACTGGATTGTCTGGTCCAGATTTGATTGTTTACAGACCGCTGCTACATAGCTGGGATATTGCTGAGCGCGGAGTAAAGCTGAACTCACTAACTCACTGTTATTGAATAGCTGTGATCATGGTCATATACTATTCCAATAAAGTTAAAGAATGGCAGATTGATTTAGCTGACTGTACATATTTTTTCATGACATATACTCATGAAAACAAATAAGGGAACACATGAAAGTACACGTGTTCCTTTATTCTTTTCGAGGTTTCTTCACAAGGTGTGTATTGCACTGTGGGTGAAATTCTGGAAATAGATAAAGGAACACTTGTACTTTCATGTGTTCCCTTATTTGTTTCCATGAGTATATAAAATATCTTCTGAGTACTACATGTCTGAGGAGGGAGACCCTTTGACTGACATGGTACCTGCCAACATTCAGACCAACACAGTGGTGTAGTAGATAGAGTGTCTGCCTGGAGAGCAGGAGGTTGGTGGTTCGACCCCTGGCTGCAGCATACCCAAAACTGACTGGCACTTGGCATTGAGGGAATTCTACAGCAACTGGCTGTGTCCGAGTCAGAATAAGGGGCAGTAGGGAAGCTTAGTGGTTAAAGTGTTCACTTGTCTCGCTGAAAACAGACGTCCGATTCCCCACATGGGTACAATGTGTGAAGTCCATGTCTGGTGTCCAGCTATGATATTGCTGGAATATTGCCGAAAACAGTGTTATTCCATACTTACTCAGGGAGTGAGAATAACGTGCCAGAGTAACATGAAATAAGAGGGTATCCTTGTCAGACTGCATTATGGGATCTCAGTGGTCTATAAAACCCTCTAGTCCAATACAAGTAGCCATACACAAGTGCCTGTCACTATAGATGTAATAAACCTAAACACAATGTTACACACCATTTCGCCTTACCTCACCTTGCTTTCACCCAGGCCTCATCGACGTCCACGTGCATGTCCGTGAGCCAGGTGCCACACACAAGGAAGACTGGTCCTCGTGCACTGCTGCGGCCCTAGCAGGGGGGATAACTCTAATTCTTGCCATGCCTAACACAAACCCAGCTACTGTAGACCAGGGGTCATTCGCCCTAACACAAAAGGTATGTAGTACATTTCCTAATGGCCATTTTGAATCACATTTTTTCTGATATTTTACAAGACGGGACTTTACCAGGAGCTTCTTTATCTTACCTGCTACCACTCCAGTGACAAAACCACTGTGATATTGCTGGAATATTGCTAAAAGCAGCATAAAACCATACTCATTCAAGAGACAAAATGCTCAGAATCAAGCAACAAAATATACATCTGTTTGAAATGTAAAGAGCACTAGCATTTTGCAAAGAAAGAATAAGTTCCCATACTCCCCGAAACCTCGATCCAGGAATATCACATGGTCAGTCCTTTATGAGGTTTCCAAAGGTGATTACATATGCTTCATTCACACACTTTTGTGGCCATAGAAACTGAGGTTCAAATCTATACAGATTCCCTGTTCAACAGTTGTGTCAGACATTGGTTGCATGCTCATATGTAAATTCCCATGCTTTCATTTGTGTGTTTTAGTTGGCACAAGAGAAGGCTCGTTGTGACTATGGCCTGTTTGTGGGAGCTAGTGCGGACAATTCTCAGGTCTTGCCATTGTTTGGGGCAAAGGCTTGTGCTCTCAAGATGTACCTGAACCCAACTTTCACCACTCTCCATCTGCAGGATATGTCGGACTGGATGAAGGTGAGGAGTTATCTTCCCTTGGTATTATAATACATGAGTTATCTCACCCTAATTTTAACATCTTTGAATAACAGTTTGCTGTCTACATTATGTTGTTGATTCCTTATGGCAGATTCAAAGTCCTAAGATCAACAGGAGCTGAGAGACTGTACCAGACAGAATGAACTTTTAAACACTCTCATGATAGTTTTTTGCGGGATTCAAGAGTCACACATGCCAGCAAGGCTTCCTTTCTTCTTTTTCTGAGGCTTTACAACCAAGATGCTTAATGATGATGAATGCATGATGATTCAAACATGATGTCGAACAGGATTGTGAATTTTTGTTTCGTGTTTAAGCTTTCAGATACCTATATAGACATATACAGATATTTGACCAACAGTAATCCGCTGATCGATTCAGACTAGTGGTTTCATGTAAAATAACTAGATTTTTACGGAATCCCTCTGGATTTTAACTAGTTTCGTGCCAGAGGTCCAGACGCCATTTCTATCTCTTAGTTGCTACATCTCTATTTGCATGTCATAGCACTTCGAACACTGGCCCAAGAACTTCCCGCTGTGCGTCCATGCTGAAGGCGTCATGACGGCCTCTGTGCTGCTACTGGCCGAGCTGTACCAGAGACCGGTCCATGTGTGCCACGTGGCTCGCAAGTCAGAGGTGGGTATCATTACCTATATCATGAGTCAATTGTTTAAAGTTGCTGATGTCATGATTCAGTTGTTTAAGGTTGCTGATATCATGATTCAGTTGTTTAAGGTTTCTGATATCATAATTCAGTTGTTTAAAGTTGCTGATGTCATGATTCAGTTGTTTAAGAATGCTGATATCATAATTCAGTTGTGCAAGGTTTGATATGATGCAGTTGTTTAAGGTTGCTGATATCATAATTCAGTTGTTTAAGGTTGCTGATGTCATGATTCAGTTGTTTAAGAATGCTGATATCATAATTCAGTTGTTTAAGGTTTCTGATATCATGAGCCAATTGTTTAAAGTTGCTGATGTCATGATTCAGTTGTTTAAGAATGCTGATATCATAATTCAGTTGTGCAAGGTTTGATATGATTCAGTTGTTTAAGGTTGCTGATATCATAATTCAGTTGTTTAAGGTTTCTGATATCATGAGCCAATTGTTTAAGGTTGCTGATGTCATGATTCAGTTGTTTAAGGTTGCTGATATCATAATTCAGTTGTTTCAGGTTGCTGATGTCATGATTCAGTTGTTTAAGAATGCTGATATCATAATTCAGTTGTTTAAGGTTTCTGATATGATTCAGTTGTTTAAGGTTGCTGATATCATAATTCAGTTGTTTAAGGTTGCTGATGTCATGATTCAGTTGTTTAAGAATGCTGATATCATAATTCAGTTGTGCAAGGTTTCTGATATGATTCAGTTGTTTAAGGTTGCTGATATCATAATTCAGTTGTTTAAGGTTTCTGATATCATAATTCAGTTGTTTAAGGTTGCTGATGTCATGATTCAGTTGTTTAAGGTTTCTGATATCATAATTCAGTTGTTTAAGGTTTCTGATATCATAATTCAGTTGTTTAAAGTTACTGATGTCATGATTCAGTTGTTTAAGAATGCTGATATCATAATTCAGTTGTGCAAGGTTTCTGATATGATTCAGTTGTTTAAGGTTGCTGATATCATAATTCAGTTGTTTAAGGTTTCTGATATCATAATTCAGTTGTTTAAGGTTGCTGATGTCATGATTCAGTTGTTTAAGGTTTCTGATATCATAATTCAGTTGTTTAAGGTTGCTGATATCATAATTCAGTTGTTTAAAGTTACTGATGTCATGATTCAGTTGTTTAAGAATGCTGATATCATAATTCAGTTGTGCAAGGTTTCTGATATGAGCCAATTGTTTAAGGTTGCTGATATGTTTAAGGTTGCTGATATCATGATTCAGTAGTTTATGCATGCTGATATCAGTTCATTTGTTCATTTTTCTTCAGAGAATATAAATTAAATGAAATCAGTTGCTGATGTCATGATTTAGTGGCATGAAGTTCCCGATGTATGGCGGGTTTAGTTATATATTGTTCATGATATCTATATTTAGTTGTGTATAGTTGCTGGTATCATGATAATTGCCAAGGGTAGTCAGAGTGCCGTGGACATGTCAGATTTGGATGAAAATGGGTCCCCAAATTGCCCTGGTTGGTTTCTTGTTATTTCAGCTCCACATAAACTTGACATGTTGTTTCTTGTTGTTTAAGCTCCACATTAAGATGACATGTTGTTTCTTGTTATTTCAACTCCACATTAAGATGACATGTTGTTTCAGCTCCACATTAAGATGACATGTTGTTTCTTGTTGTTTCAGCTCCACATTAAGTTGACATGTTGTTTCAGCTCCACATTAAGATGACATGTTGATTCTTGTTGTTTCAGCTCCACATTAAGATGACATGTTGTTTTAGCTCCACATTAAGTTGACATGTTGTTTCTTGTTGTTTCAGCTCCACATTAAGATGACATGTTGTTTCAGCTCCACATTAAGATGACATGTTGTTTCTTGTTGTTTCAGCTCCACATTAAGATGACATGTTGTTTCTTGTTGTTTCAGCTCCACATTAAGATGACATGTTGTTTCAGCTCCACATTAAGATGACATGTTGTTTCTTGTTGTTTCAGCTCCACATTAAGATGACATGTTGTTTCTTGTTGTTTCAGCTCCACATTAAGATGACATGTTGTTTCTTGTTGTTTCAGCTCCACAATAAGATGACATGTTGTTTCAGCTCCACATTAAGATGACATGTTGTTTCAGCTCCACATTAAGATGACATGTTGTTTCAGCTCCACATTAAGATGACTTGTTGTTTCAGCTCCACATTAAGATGACATGTTGTTTTAGCTCCACATTAAGATGACATGTTGTTTCTTGTTGTTTCAGCTCCACAATAAGATGACATGTTGTTTTAGCTCCACATTAAGATGACATGTTGTTTCAGCTCCACATTAAGATGACATGTTGTTTCAGCTCCACATTAAGATGACATGTTGTTTCAGCTCAACATTAAGATGACATGTTGTTTCAGCTCCACATTAAGATGACATGTTGTTTCTTGTTATTTCAGCTCCACATTAAGATGACATGTTGTTTCAGCTCCACATTAAGATGACATGACATGTTGTTTCTTTTTGTTTCAGCTCCACATTAAGATGACATGTTGTTTTCTTGTTGTTTCAGCTCCACAATAAGATGACATGTTGTTTCAGCTCCACATTAAGATGACATGTTGTTTCAGCTCCACATTAAGATGACATGTTGTTTCAGCTCCACATTAAGATGACATGTTGTTTCTTGTTGTTTCAGCTCCACATTAAGATGACATGTTGTTTCTTGTTGTTTCAACTCCACAATAAGATGACATGTTGTTTTAGCTCCACATTAAGATGACATGTTGTTTCAGCTCCACATTAAGATGACATGTTGTTTCAGCTCCACATTAAGATGACATGTTGTTTCAGCTCCACATTAAGATGACATGTTGTTTCAGCTCCACATTAAGATGACATGTTGTTTCTTGTTATTTCAGCTCCACATTAAGATGACATGTTGTTTCAGCTCCACATTAAGATGACATGACATGTTGTTTCTTTTTGTTTCAGCTCCACATTAAGATGACATGTTGTTTCAGCTCCACAATAAGATGACATGTTGTTTCAGCTCCACATTAAGATGACATGTTGTTTCAGCTCCACATTAAGATGACATGTTGTTTCAGCTCCACATTAAGATGACATGTTGTTTCTTGTTGTTTCAGCTCCACATTAAGATGACATGTTGTTTCAGCTCCACATTAAGATGACATGTTGTTTCTTGTTGTTTCAACTCCACAATAAGATGACATGTTGTTTTAGCTCCACATTAAGATGACATGTTGTTTCAGCTCCACATTAAGATGACATGTTGTTTCAGCTCCACATTAAGATGACATGTTGTTTCTTGTTGTTTCAACTCCACAATAAGATGACATGTTGTTTTAGCTCCACATTAAGATGACATGTTGTTTCAGCTCCACATTAAGATGACATATTGTTTCTTGTTGTTTCAGCTCCACATTAAGATGACATGTTGTTTCTTGTTGTTTCAGCTCCACATTAAGGTGACTTGTTGTTTCAGCTCCACATTAAGATGACATGTTGTTTCTTGTTGTTTCAGCTCCACAATAAGATGACATGTTGTTTTGGCTCCATATTAAGATGACATGTTGTTTCAGCTCCACATATAGAGATGACATGTTGTTTCAGCTCCACATTAAGATGACATGTTGTTTCAGCTCCACATTAAGATTACATGTTGTTTCTTGTTGTTTCAGCTCCACAATAAGATGACATGTTGTTTTAGCTCCACATTAAGATGACATGTTGTTTTAGCTCCACATTAAGATGACATGTTATTTTAGCTCCACATTAAGATGACATGTTGTTTCAGCTCCACATTAAGATGACATGTTGTTTCAGCTCCACATTAAGATGACATGTTGTTTCAGCTCCACATTAAGATGACATGTTGTGTCTTGTTTACAGATTCAGGTGATCAAGTTAGCGAAAGAGCGAGGACTTCCTGTCACATGTGAGGTGACTCCCCATCATCTGTTTCTCACTTCAGACGACCTTGAGAATATCGGGGACAAGCGGGGTCAAGTCAGACCATGCCTTTGTTCCAAGGAAGACCAGCTTGCATTGTGGGAGAACATTGATATCATTGACTGCTTTGCAACAGATCATGGTAATTGTTAAGTTATGTAAATACTTGTAAAGATCGCCTCTTTGGTCTAGTAGATAGTGCACATGCCTGGAGTGAGTGAGTGAGTTTAGTTTAAAACCACACCCAGCAATTTTCCAGCTATGTGGTGGCGGTCTGTAAATAATCGAGTCTGGACCAAACAATCCAGTGATCAACAGCATAAGCTTTGATCTGCGCAATTGGGAACCAATGACATGTGTCAATCAAGTCAGTGAGCCTGACCACCCGATCGTGTTAGTCGACTCTTACGACAAGCATGGGTTGCTTCACGGGTACCACAGACCTGGAGAGTTGAAGATTGGTGGTTAAGTCCTGAGGGTAATTCGTATCAATATATTGAAAAAGATTAACAGAATACAACACAGACTGGTCAGCTTGGAGGCTTTATACTTGACCGAGTGTGGTGTCAGTGTTAAACTGTGAATGACACTGTAGCATTCCCAGGAGATACGATGTCTGGCACAAGTGCAAGAATCAGGCAGAGAACAAATGCTATAGAAAATTATCTGATAAAATTTCATGTTTGTCAATATTTAGCAATATGGTGTGTATGTGTTATTACATATTTGATAAAATAGTGATCTACATATTGGCAACTGGCATAAAACACAATTCACTCACTCATTGTCCCGGCCATTGCAGCCCCCCACTCTGTGGAGGAGAAGGATGCAGCCAACCCACCCCCGGGATTCCCCGGTCTGGAGACCATGCTTCCCATGTTGCTCACTGCCGTCAACGAAGGGCGACTCACTCTTGAGGTATGGCGACACCGTGACATGCTGCTGCATATATTACATGCAGCTTCCATCAAACTATCATTGTTCTTTCATACAAAAGAGCCTAAGGTGTCAGAGGAAATGCGATTTGGTGTGCGGAGTTATGTCCCTTAAACATGCCAGGAACCTATGATTGTGGGTTTGAAATAAGGGTCAAATTTATCATGTGTCTAGGTTTGTTGTTGTACATACAGAGTTGTGTCCCTTAGATCTTGCCAGGATCCTATGATTGTGGATTTGATATATTTTGCGTATGCATTAGTCAGCAGCAGATCCATGCTTGTAGGATTAACCAAGTGGTTGGTGTTTAACTCTACACATCACATTCCTCCCCACATTAAGCAAACATGCCATGATGGATCTGAGATGCCCTTCATTGCAGTGTTTTAACGCACTCTTTCTTACCACGGATGTAGTGATCAGACTCTGTTACATGGTGAATCACAGGTATGTGTCCCATTGTCTTGTGGTCAAGGACTTGCTAGTTTGGTCCAGACTTGATGACTTGCAGACTGTTGGGATTATTGCTGGGTGTGGCATTAAATAACAAACTCACACAGTGCATTTGGTCTGTAAATTAGATACAGCAGTATCCCAGCTACATGACAGGGTTCTTTAACTAATCGAGTCTGGATCAGACAATCCAGTGATTGACATGACTATTGATACATGGACCGCCTCCGTGGTGTAGTGGTTAGAGCGTCCGCCCGGAGGGCAGAAGGTCGCGGGTTCGATCCCCGACTGCGTCATACCAAAAGGCGTTAAAATATGGTACTTGTTGGTCACTGCCTGGCGCTCGGCATTAATGGGTACAACAAGGACTGGTCGACTCGGAGTCAGTATAATGTGTCTGAGTGGGGTATCCATGCTTCACTGTGGCATGGTATCTCAGTGGGCTAGCACTATAAAACCAGCTTCAGTCTGGGCTAGTACAAGCAGCCGCACATACACATACACACGCATGCACGTCGTCATATGAGCGAAATATTCTCAAGCACGACGTTAAACCCAATTCTACCACCACCACCACTATTGATACATGCAGTTGGTATACATTGGCTCATGTCAACCAAATCCGTGAACCTCACCACCCAATACTGTTAATCTTCTCTTACAACAAGCATGAGTTGCTGAAGATCGATTCTAATTCAGACCCTCATGAGTGAGCGAACTACAGAAGTGGTACCTATGTTGCAGTAATATCCCAATAGTTTTTAGCTGCCACTTTGTCGATGCAATTGTCAACTCGGTGTTCTCAATAAATATCTCCCATTCCACACAGGACATTATCAGCCGTCTCAGCACCAACCCACGTCGCATCTTTGGTTTGCCGGAGCAGCCTGACACGTACATCGAGGTGGACCTGGATCACAAGTGGACTGTCCCAAAGGCCATGAAGTTCACCAAATCTAAGTGGACACCATTTGCTGGGATGAATGTGGTTGGAGCTGTGCGGAGAGTTGTGCTGAGAGGGGGAGGTGGCTTACATAGATGGTGAAGTAAGTTGCAGATTGACAAGCAAGCATGTTTGATATTATCATTGAAATCTCAGTGTGTTTGGGTAGCCGAGTGGTAAAACTATTCACAAGAAATTCATAAAGAGGTTTAATTCCATACATTAAAAGTGATACAGGGAGCTTTGGTAACTGACACACTTCATCCATCTTTGGGCAAATTTTGTTTTACACTCTACTGTTTTATGTGCAGAGATTGTCTTATCTCCATATCACAGCAATGCCATTTCACCGGTCATAGTCTGTCATAGTAATAGCATTTCAACAGTTGTAAGTCTATCTCAGTAATCGTGTTATGACAACCATAAGTCGGTATCATAGTAATGGTGTCACAAAGTCATAAGTCTATGTCATAGTACTTGTTTTACTCAGCTGTTGGTCTTGGTCGCAGTAATTGCATTCTGACAGTCATAAATCTGTCGTACTTATTGTCTTTCGACAGCCATAAGTCTGCATCATAGTAATGAAGTTCTGTCGTGTGCCTCCCTATAATCAGTTCCCTGGTATGGCAGTCGTAAGTCTAAGTATTAACAATGTCATCAAGACTCTCATGGTGCTGAAGTGGCTGTGCAAATTGACTTCTGCCAATCTGTTTCCAGAGTTCTGGGTATATGAACACCATATGTACAAATCCACTGCATGAAAATTATTTCTAGAGTCTGTCCTCAGTGGTAATATAAACGCAGTAAATACATACTCAACCATTCCATCTTTACAGGTTTTGGCTGCGCCTGGAAATGGCATCGACGTGAAGACACTACCCCAACCTGCCACACCCAAGCAGGCAACAGAACAGTTGTCAGTCCATATCCCTACCATGCCCTCATCGCTGCCTTCATCCGAGCCAGCAAGTCCTCGCCGGGCCCTCATGGACAAGTTCCCCTTGCCTCCCCGCCCCTCCCGAACCTTGGAGGGTCAGCTCCAGCCAAGTGAGTCTATGTGTTGTCCGTCCTGATTGTTGCTTCTGGTCTGTGCCTTGTCTTGTGCTGCTGCTTAACAGTAAAACACAATTTTCAGATTTGCAGATGTGATTTGGTTTCCATGTTATGTTAACATCCAAAGAGTTTTAAGATAAGAAATTATCTAATCCTCGAGAAATTGTGTGATTGTGATAACTGGAAGTACTTTTGTATTAATGCATATCATACTTAAATTGTAATATTAACTGGTTTAGATGCGAGCGAGTATAAACATTTGTATTGTAAGTTTTCCCAGAGAATTGGATGTCTGAAGTCTGGCTACTTATGCTGAAGATTGCTAAATGACAAACACATACGGTTATTTCTCTTTTCAAAATGTTTTGACCCGATCAATTCTTTTGACCTAATCAAGTATGAAAATCACATCAAACATCATTTCACAGTTCAGCAACCAATGATACAGAATATACTTTCAATAAAAAACAGAAACTGTTTCTTTCATTTTTTTATGAAACAGAGAGGTTTTTTATCCCCCGCAACATGTTTTGCAGGGGGTATTAAAATGGACTCAGTCCATGCCTCCGTCGTGCACATTTGTGTTTTCCGGAGCAGAACTCTAAAACTGTTAACTATTTCTTCACCAAACTTGGCACATACATGGATCTGGTGGTGTATTGGTGCCTTTTGGTAGTTTCGGAATTCTGAATAAAATATTTTTGGCGTTTCCATGGCAACAAGTTCGATTTAGCCTGAAATTGGTGGCAGTGCTCTTTTCTGGAGCAGAACTCTAAAACCGTTCAATGTTTCTTCACCAAACGTGGCACATAGATAGATATGGTGGTGTACTGGTGCCTTTTGGTAGTTTTGGATTTCTGAATAAAATATTTTTGGCATTTCCATGGCAACAAGTTTGACTTAGACTGAAATTGGTGATAGTGCTCCGTTCTGGAGCAGAACTTTAAAAACCTTTCAATACTCTCCTTCCACTTTTCTATATACACACCTAAATATTTGACATAGTCATAACTTGTAGACATAATCATGAAGAGTATTTTGCCATTGCGGGGGATATTGATGACTTTGTCTTCTTGTTATTTTTATAATTTCATGTGACAAGTACTACTTAACTTTAATATACCCTTTGCATATCCTTAATTCCTGCTGTGTTATCCATCCCCACCCAGCTATACATTGAAACTAACAATGTCTTGTACTAATTGTTTGACTCCTGTGTGCTGTCCGTGAGTTCTGAGTTTGTGTCCTCAGTCGGAGATTCCCCAGAACACCTACACAAGGAGATGAAGCCAGGTGAGTGGTCTCCCTTTGATCCACTACAGAGTTACTTTGTTGCCTAGCAACAGCAGTCAAACGGTAGAGTAGGAAATTTATTTTTTCTTATTTGTCACTTGTACTTGAAAAGCAATATGTCTCCATATGTTGCTTAGCAACAGACTGTCAGTCAAGATATTGGGTCATTCAATTTAAGAGTTTACTCAATGGCATATGCCCATTTCCGCTACAGATGCAGTACATAGCTTCTTTATTGAGATGCTGGTATATGTTGTGAGTTGCAAAATGTGAAATAATTCACTGTACAGAGTTTTGTCCCTTGACCGTAATGGATCCTACGTTCTGAGGATCAATTTGTCCTGATTTAGATTCTTTTTTTCCTCCACACCAAACTGGTACTTGTGAGTTTAACCAAAATGGTATAGGTTTCATCCTTTCCTCAGGCAAGCTCATATAACTGCAATTACTGTTAAAAAGAGCTGGGGTGGTCGGGTAGCCTAGTGGTTAAAGCGTTCGCTTGTCACGCTGAAACACGGGCTCGATTCCCCAAATGGGTACAATGTGTGAAACCCATTTGTGGTGTCCCCCGCCATGATATTACTGGAATATTGCTAAAAGCAGCGTAAAACCATACTCCCTCACTCACTGACTCAAAGCAGTCTAAGCCTGTCTTACTCCAGCTGTAGAAACATATCCTGAGTGTGGGTGGGCATTTTGTGTGTTTAGGATGTCATAGCATGGGAGGGGTCAGCTGCTGAACAGCATATGGAACATCTTCAAAATTTGAGATGTTATTTCTCTATAAATAGCATCTTTCACTGTGTATCTCACTTTCCTAGCATAGTGTAATAGATTTATTGCTCTTTCAAACAATGCATGTAGTTGGATTTCTTTCAATAATTTCAAAGTGTTTTAATGATTTAATGCAGATTTTTCAATTGCACCTAGTTCATCTAACAAGTAACTTAATGCTGTTTTTCTTCCTTCATACTTTATATTCCTTTCATTGATTTACACATGTTATCCTCATATTTAGTTTAAGGGCTTGGGTAGTAGTATTGTCTGCGACTTCTAAATTGTGTTTCTATCCCATTGGAATACATTTAATTCACCACAATATAGTTTTACAATGGAATCTCTAATGTTGAATAGGGACACTACATTAAAGGTCAACAGTGAGTGTTCCTCAAGGCTTCCAGACCTAATGTGTCATGTGACCTCAGTTCTAATTTTTGCACATAAGTAATTAACATAACAATAATGCAAAGTAAACAATTTATCAAAAAATCATTTTGCCAGGTGAATCCTTAGGTATGGCAATCAACAGTATTTATTGAGAGAACAAATGTTTGTGTTAAACAAAGAAAGAAATGAATGCTTCATAAAATTCTGTTTACTACAGAAACATTTCTTTATCTAGTCATTAAACAAAAGCCAATGTCACTAAGCCATTTATCAGGAAAGTCTTTATGAAAGGGAAGATCCTTGGGTTTGGCTATCGACAGTATTTATTGAAAGAACAAATGTTAGTGATAATTGAAGACTGCTACTTTAAATTCTCTTTACTGCAGAAACATTTCATTATCTTATCATTAAACAAGAATCAATGTCACTCGCTAAATAATTGAATGAGTGAATATGATGTATGTTATTTTCAACCAGTGACAAAGCTAGTTTTAATCGGGTTCCAGACAGCACTATTTTGCCCTTGACCTTGTTTGACATTTGTGTGTGTTGCTTCACTAGTTGGCTAAACATTTGCCCCTTTGATTTCCTCAACACCTCACCAGCTGCTGTCTCTTGCCTTCTAGAGAGTCTCACAGGTAACGATGTAGTAGAACAGTGTAGCTGTTGCAGCCACCAGCTGTGTAGTCTCGTCTTGCTTACAGAGCACCAGCATGTATTCTTCTGTCACACTCAGATCTTGGGTCGATTTACAAACTTATGGAGCATTGTCAATCTAACGTATTTTGAGATCTTACTGTACTGTCTGCAAGTTACGGTTTGTTTGAATAAAATGTCCCATGGTTAAATCTTTCGCTCCCACGACGAAGACCCGGGTTCGATTCCCCACATGGGTACAATGTGTGAAGCCCAGTTTTGGTGTCCCCGCCGTGATATTGCTGGAATATTGCTAAAGGCGGTGTAAAACCAAACTCACTCACTCACTTAAGATGTAACAGTCAGCAGAGGATACCAAAGGGCTTGGAAAATCTTGTATTCAGTGGTATTACTTGTACACAAAAATATTTTTTGATGTCAGCAGATAAGTGCCTTTTTTATCGTGAAAGTGAATAAAGAAGAAACGACAAGAATATGAATGGGCAACACGATTTGATGAGGCCATGTTGTTTTCTGTCATAAAGGGCATTCTTCCAAAGAATTGAAATTCGTCTTTGATCTGAGTGCTGGATTTATGTACTGTTCCATATTTGTAACATTATTTTGACTTTGTCTACGGCATGTGGCAATGTATTTGTCCTGCATTAAGACATGTCTTTGACCTATGTGTATATAGTCATCATATGTAGTGACATTGACCTTGACCAACATGAAAAAGTGATTTGAACATCTGGTGGTTATGTTAATGCAATCTGTGCATGGATGAAAAAAGATAATGTTATTCACATTGTATCTTGTTCCTACTAATTATTCAGAAATTAATATTGCCTGCATGTTGTGAATCATATATGAAGATGACGAAGTTGTTTGTCCCCATACACAGCCGTCTGCAGTATTGCCGAGTAAACATACGTTGTTGAATTACAGAGAGAAATGAATATTTTTCACTGGCAAATATAAACTACAATGGAACTCTGTTACATGTATTTTTATCGCTTGATGCTGTTAATCAGGAAGCCTTGCCTGGAACTTATTTGAAGATGAAATGGTACCCAGATTTAATGAAGATTTGCTTTTTAGTTGGCAGCTTCGTGTTACTAACAATTTCAATGGGTCACACTGACAATTTCTGGAACAGTGAGGACTAGGGAGGTGGCCAAGTGGTAAAAGCTTCTCTCATTGTGCCAAAGAACTGATTTTCCACACTGTGAAAGCAGGGAAGCACTACAACCACTTGGGGCTTTAGATTTGGGGCTGGATAAGCAAACCTTTAATTTCGAAAACTGCACTACGTTCATAAAACAAGGGAAGGCCGGCCATATCAGATTCACAGAAAGAACTGTGCCTATTCTGGTCCAATACTAATGTATGTGTATATGTCATGTGCTCATGTCATGTCTATATGTCATGTATTCGTGTCATGTCTATATCGTGTTCGCGTCATGTCTGTATGTCATGTGTTCACGTCATGTCTATATGTCATGTAGGAAAACTGATTTGTATGGATAGTCAACTTCTTTATTGCAATGAGTGCGACGTTTCGGTGTAGGTACTAACACCGTTATCAAGCAGGTGATACAACAACTGAATCAAGGAGAATATATACATAGCTGTATAGTGAGTATATACAATTAACAAGGTTGATGTACATTGGGTATTTGATAAGTGATTACAGCAGAGGAGGTTGATGTACAGAGTGATTGATTGTGATTAGACTGACTGACTGAGTTTGGTTTTACGCCGCTTTTAGCAATATTCCAGCAACATCACGGCGGGGGACACCAGAAATAGGCTTCACACATTGTGCCCATGTGGGGATTCGAACCCGGGTCTCCGGCGTGACAAGCCAACGCTTTAACCATTAGGCTACCCCACCGCCCCGATTGTGATTAGAGTTGAGTTTATACAATTGATGAGTTGACGTACAATAGTTGTGATTACAAGTACAAAGGAGGGAGCATGGAAGCCAGATGGACAAAGGAGATAGGGAAGGATTACTGGTCGTGGTGTTTGATTAGGTGGTGATAGGCTGACGAGATGAAATAACCTTGATCTCGATTCATGGGGTTGTGGTGTTGGATGTTTATGGCTTCAAGGAGTTTCCTAATTTTGTAGTCTTGTCGGTTGATTTCTAGGATGTCGATGTTGTTCCATAGGATGGCATGGTCAGGGTTGGCTTGGGTGTGGTCAGCTATGGCGGATTTGGAGTCGTTTTTCTGGACTGACGCTTTATGTTCCTTGATTCGTAGTGGGAGCGGGCTGGATGTTTCACCAGAAAAACATCTTTCCTCTCTTTCTTGGTTATGTCATCAGTGAACAATCAACAGTTGAATAACATACAGATTTTCTCTACCTCTGAAACATTATGACAAAGAATGGAAGAAATGGTTATCATGTGTCATGTATTCAGGGAATTTTTATTCCAGTTCTGGAATGTTTGCCATCATTTGCTACAGGTGACAAATATCAGCACATAAGTTGGTCAAGATGACTCCCAGGACTTGTAGCATGCCCTCCCTTAGAGTAGAGAGAATACCCTTCCTACAGTCCGTTTGAGTCAGAAACGGACCGATGAATTGCAAATTTTATCATTGTACAAAATTGCCACATAAATATAAATAGTACACATGTTTATCATTTACTAATACCCAACAGCTTTCTTATATTTGAAAATTTTCCGGACTCCACCAAAAAAGTTCTTTAAGAAACTATCATTCAAATTTTGACAGCCAGGTGTGCGAGGAAGGATGGAGACGGCTTAGCACAGGCTAATGAATCAATAACTTGGTGGGCACTTGTGCACGTGCTTCTCTAACATCTGGCTGTCCCTTTCTCTGCACTCCTCCCTCGTAACAAATAGTGAACTATGTCAAAAGAAAGCAATTTTGTACAATGATAAAATTTGCAATTCATCGGTCCGTTTCTGACTCAAACGGACTGTAGTCCCTTCATTGTAGATCCATTGTACTTAACAGTGGTCAATGTGGAAGTGATCATAGAAATAAGTCTACATTAAAAAAGAAATTCAGTTTTCAGGTTGTTATGAAACATTGTAGTTTGAAAATATTCTATATGATAAAACATGTAAGGTTTATATGTTTTTGATATTTCAGGTGTTTGTTATAAGCAAGCGATGATATCTGCCATGCATGTATTCCCATTCAAGCTTGTCATTTAGCTTATTGTAACCTAATTGTCTTGCAGTTAAGTTGGTTGAATGCAAAATATTTTGGCATGACAGATATGTATGTTTGTATTGTTGAAGTTGAATAGCTCCTACAAGTAATATCGTCACCGTGTATCACATGTATCTATAATTAGTGATATGATGAGAGTATAGAATTTTCTTCTGATATATGTACATATGTGCAATTAAGATAGCTTTTGTTTCTTTCAGACTGTGTCTTGTGTTTTTACATGTCAGTAGTCATGGTAACAGAGTACTGTAATTACAGATTTGTATGGAGGTCACGGTGACTTCCTCCGTAAGGAGCTCCCGGTCACCCCCAGCCAACACAGCCACGCCCTGCAGCCTGTGGGGCTGCCCCACTACACTCCTGGGCTCACCAACCACCATGTGCTCTCTGTCATGGGATTCAACAGGGAGCAGGTAATAGATGTACAGAGTCACATGTCACATGTCACTCTCTCCTGAGTCTATTAGTGTACAGTGAGACCCCGAATACCCAGACCCCCAAATATCTGGAAACCTCGATTTCCGGTCAATTATCATAAAAAACCAATCTCTTACTTTATAAAAGTGACTGTCTATAAAGGATATACGGTTTCCATTCCCGGACGGTAAATTTTACAAACCAACCAGCTAAATCAACACAAAATTGACTCACTTATCCGCACAAAGCATTGATCTTCCGCTGTCCGTGTGAAGTGAAGCGCGAGTGGCCCACGTGTCTTGACACGAGACAAGGTCTGTTAATCTGGATTAATGACCGATCAGTAGGGTATTGGTGGTGATTAGTAGGCCTATCTGACACTGAGTGAATTGTAATTGGCAAATCAAAACGACCATGCTGTTTTGGAAGTGATTCTAAACCAGAAGTGTATGCTGGCTACCGTTTCGACACCTAAGCCTGGATGACAGAAATCCAGATATCAGGATATTCTGTTATCCGGTCGATTTACACAAAAACGAATGTGTCCGGATTACCGGGGTCTCTCTGTATTTGTTGTATCGCAGATATTTTTTATCAAAATCAGAAGTTTCCGGAAGTTATGAGATATAATACAAGGCTAACTTAAGCTCTTTTTGATTATACTGGATCATGGAATGTTATTACAAATGCTACCTGTAGAGGAGGAAAACATATAAAAACACACAAAAGTACCATCCACAGAAAGGCCTGCCATTGTTGTTTTTCTTGGAAGACAAAGGGAGTTAATTTGTGCAAAGTTTATCCCCTGCAAAAGGGACATAACTCTTTCTCCAGGAAAATGTGGTACAAATTGAGCAATATGGCAAAGTAGAAATGTCAAATTGAGCGTCATAGTTTAATAGATCATAAAAAAGTTAGGTGCACCAGCCATTTACACCCTTGCTTAATGGAGGCTAAAAATAAAACATACAAGAAATGGTTATCGATGATGATGTTTTTGATGTGGGTATTATAGCTGTGTTTTTTACCTGTTTCAGCAGCTGTTTTCAGCTTAAAATGTTTGTTAATTTAAAAAAAAAAAATTCAAATCAAATTTTTTACTCTAGTGTGCTACAACTCTTGCCCTCACAACCGCACATTTCATCCACAATGTTGATGTTTCTTACTAAGTATAATTGTGTCGACAGCTTCATCAGATCTTCAATCTTGCCCACAACTTCCGTGTGGCAGTGATGAGGGGATCGCCCACTTGACTACATCCTCAAGGTCAGTATGTCCACCATAATTTTACGGAGTGGTGTGGTAGCCTTGTGGTTAAAGAACTTGCTTGTGACAAGTCCTTGCTTCCTTGAGGCCTATCACAATCCTTAAATAATTGTAGAATCCAGTTCACTCTAGCAGTGAGCCACTGGCCAGTAAATCTCCAGAGACTGGCTAGTGAATTTTCATGGGGTCACTTTTTTAAATATTTCACTCTCTCCGACTTGTTAAGTTATAATACACTTTTATAGCTTGCAAGATTATGGCCTGATAAATGATGGTATTTTACTTTTTGTAATCTTTTGCTTAGTTTCTACATTCAAATTTTGGGCTAGTGAATTATTTTGTGGGCTTGTAACTTTCAGGCCAAGCTTTCCCGACTGGCAAGCAAAATATGGAAACTATTTCGCACACTGCACTCAAGCATGTGGTTTCTGGAAGTAGATTTTGGTCTTGTAGCCAAACCTCTGTACAAGGAACCAATACTTGTATCCCTGTGGGGAATTCATGTTAGAATGGGTCCCCAGCTACCTTTGCTGGTCGTAAAAAAGTGACCAGATCCATTGATGGTCAGTCAGTTTAATGTGTGTCAACCTATCTTGACTATGATGTCATGTGATTCAAACCAATGACCTCAGCAAGCCTACAAGGTAAACATATCATCTGCTGGATGTGACAAGTGTGAATCACTGGATTGTCTGGTCCAGACTTGATCATGTACAGTCCTCCTTAATATAGCCAGAATATTGGTAAGTATGGTGTTAAAAAACAGAATAACAACACATTTGTTGTTCCCAGACCACAAAGCGACAGCGATGATGTGTCATGAATCTGTTTAAGTTATAGGAGTTTTGATAAAGTAGTCATAGCACGGCAGTCAGTATATGATCTATGTGCCCTTGTGCCAGTCTATGATCTATGTGCCCCTTGTCACTTTGTAATCTATCTGCCCCATGTCAGTTTTTTTATCTATATGCCCTGTGTCACTTTGTACTTTGTGCTTCCCTGTATTCCATAGATAACACACCATTAACTAATAGCAATTCAGTTCAGTACACACTTACTCCAAGCCATCCTTGATAATCTCCAGGGTATACATTACGATCACTCTCCACTATACCCTGGATGCATCCACGGCTTGGCCTGATGATTTTATTACCTCCCTTGGCTGGCTTTTTATCCCATCAGGTGTCTACCCTGGGAAGTTGAGCGAACCAATCACAACTCACTTTCACTTCTTAAATTATCTAACCGTTTAAACTTGGCAACACAATTGATGCAGAGGTACTCTGAAAGATGTAGGAGTTCTTTTATATATTTTTTGAAAGTTTCAGATCTGTCAATTTGTGTGTATTATTTCCCCAAAAATCTGAGTGGTACTGTGAACAAACCTTCGCGACTGCAACCGCTATCTTTGTTGACACTGGCAAGCTCAGATGTAACGGCGGCTTAGCTGATTGGCCACTGTGAGGATGCGGAGCCAGCAAAGGGAGGTAATATAATTATCGGGCCAAACCGTGGATGCATCCAGGGTATAGTGGAGAGTGATCGTAACGTATACCCTGGAGATTATCGAGGATGACTCCAAGCAGTCTCACTTGTATGTCCAGAGATAGGAAGAATATTAGTGTTCAGTACACTGATGCACTCACAGATGTTTATTGCATTTCCGTCTAAATTGTATTGATGCTGTTGCATTAGCCAGGAATTATGTCTCCTTGTTTAAGGGCAAGGTGATGGCGTCGTTGTTTTATGAGGTGAGCACGAGAACCTGCTGTTCCTTCTCTGCTGCCATGCAGCGCCTAGGTGGCGCTGTCGTGGCCCTCAATGAAGCCACTTCCTCCTCCAAGAAAGGGGAGACCTTGCAAGGTGAGGATACCTGTACTATGGATCCCTGTGTTCCTCTTGGTGTTGATCGTTCTGTGTTCCAGCAACGGAGTGACAAAAGAATGTTTGGTGTGATAAGTACCCTTATTCTTCAAGCATTTATGTGATTTGAATTTTTATAGGTATTCTATTATGTTATGCCACCAAAAGTTTGTTTTTTTTTCTTTTTTTATCATCTTTATTTCCACATTTTACATAGTACATGAAGAATGCATTCACATAAGTGTATTCATACAAATATTTATATACACTATATCAAGTATATTCAATACACCCTCACAAATCCCCTTCATACAATGAATAGACGTCTTTGAATATGTTTTGTATATCTTATCTCAGTGATTCCAATACTAATAATAGTAATTAAATACATTTATTATATGTTTTCTGACCTAGTATTTTCTGTAAATCGATTGTGGAATGATGACCAGAAGGTAAAAAACTCACTGTTGCTGCATGTAGAATACGCATTATATTTTGTAATTTCATAGTATTTTGATATCTCGCTTACTACATGCTTGAAATTTGGAACTTGTTCTTTTATTTTTTGTGTGTATATTACCTGTTTCACAACAAGACATATTGCATTTAAAGAATTATTGTTTTTCCCTTTAAATCCAAGTAAGATGTTTTCTGGTGTAAAGTCAGTGTTACCTTCAGTTACAGTCATTAGCCATCTGGTCAAACTCTCCCATGACTTATTGTAATTGGAGTCCAGTAAAGAAAGGTAGACGGTTTTGGTGCCTTTGACCTTTAGATTAAGTTTGGATATATTTAATGGTAGTATTGGTGAGAATGGGAGTGTTTTAGGTAGAGTGATTTGTCTTCTCTTTAAGCAGGCAATTATGGAAGATTTAATACTGTGGTATCTTAAGATATTTGTTTTAACTTGATATATTTTTTGTAGTTCTTCATAAGTATAGAATTCCCCTGTGGTTGGGTTCATTAGATCATATATAAAGTGTATTCCTGCATTGTACCAATTGTTTATAAAATTTGTTTCATTACCTATGTTAAACATATAATTAAACCAAATACATTAGTTTAACATGTCATTTGGGTTTATTGTCTTATAATGCTTTTGTAAATATGATCCCCATGCAGAGATTACATCTCACCAAAATGGATTTCTTATGTATGGTTTTATATGTTTTTCTAAAAATTCAGGATCAGCTAACCAAAGTCTTCCGTAGTTAGGTATACAGTTATCCACTAATGCTTTCCATTTGCAGTTACTGGAATATAATTTTTTTATCCATGCTATTTTATGTGCATAAATATTATTCTTAATGAGTGGGACACTAATTCCTCCGTAATCAGGTGGCATAGCTAAAACGTCTCTTTTAATTTTGTCCGGTTTGTTTTTCCATACAAATTTGAAGCAGGCTTGTTGAAATTGATTTATTATTTCATCTGGGGGTGATGGAATAAGTGGTTTAATTTTGCAAGCAGTAGTGATTTCAAAACAACATTTCTACCAATTGGAGTAAGTGTTCTTATTGACCATAATTTCATTTCCTTCTCTATCTTTTTGAACTTATTATCATAGTTCAATTTCACCATTTTGTCAAGGTCTACATCAAACATAATACCCAGTAGCTTGAAGTCACTTTGAGTCCAATCTAAGTTCCAGTCTTTACAGAGTTCATATCTACATCTTTTCTTTGAACCTATCCAGATCAGTCTTGTCTTGTCAGCATTAAATTTTCAAGCCAGAAAACCTTGCAAAAAAAGGACAAAATGTTCAACAAGGCATATAGACTACTCTCAGTGCCGTCTAAAGATAAAGAAGTATTGTCAGCAAATTGTGCAAGAACATATTCAATACTTCTCTTTTTAATACCTTTTATATTTTTATTATTTCTGATAAGTATAGCTAAAATTTCTACGCATAAGACAAAAATATATGGTGATACCGGATCTCCTTGGCGACAACCTCTGGCTATAGAAAAAAGGTGCTAGCAAATCCATTTACTAGTACACTTGATTTCATATCTTTAAAAAAAGTTCTGATCCACTTCTGAAAACTAGGTCCAAAATTAAAGAATCTTAATACCTTTAGTATGAAGTTTCTGTCGACTGAATCAAAAGCCTTTTCAAAATCTATTAGAACTAATAGTCCTGGTATTTGATAAGATTCTGTGTACTCCATTAGATCGTATATCAGCCTTGTGACCTCACCAATATATCTTCCTGGTACAAAGCCTTTTTGATCATCATTTATTATTAGTGGTCATACTTTCTTCATTCTATTGGCTATAACCGCTGATGCAATTTTATATGATGTGTTAAGAAGAGAAATTGGCCGCCAATTTTTTAAAAATAGTTTTGGTTTGTTTTCTTTTGGTAAGCATGAAATTAATCCTTGTTTCTGGGTAACTGATAGATTTCCTTTTTGATATGCATAATTTAACGAGTTTATCAAGAATTTGTTCAAGTCTATCCAGAAGAATTTTAGAAATTCTGTTGTAAAACCGTCTGGTCCGGGACTTTTTTCATTTTTCATTTTTTCAATGCTTCTAGGGTTTCCTCATATGTTAGTTCTCCCTCTAAAGTTGCGGCACTGTCTTCATTCAATTTTGGTATGTTGTATTTGTTTAACAAAGAATCAAGATTAATTTGTGTGCAGTTTTCATTTTTATGTAGTTTTTTTATAAAAGCTTTGGGTTTCTTTTAGTATTTCTTCTTGATCTTTAATGGTTGATCCATCGGGTTGTTTTAATTTCTGATATTGACTTGTTTAGAAAATTTCTAAATTCCAAGTTTAAAAAGTATCTACTTGGTTTTTCTCCCTGTTCTGTCCAGTTTGCTTTTGATCTAATAAATGCTCCCTTATTTGTTTCAAATTCATTAAGTTCAGTTTTTGTATCATTTATTTCTTTTTAAAATTTCTTCTTTGGCCTGTAAGAAGTTGCTGAGACCCACTCCTTTGACTAATTTGGGTCAATAGCAAAATATTTCTTCACAATTTGTTTGCATTTGTTAAACAATTGTATATTTACTTGTAATGGTAGCGGCATCCATCAATTTCCGCAAACATAACCATGCTTGATTGTATTGATTACGATATCTTACACTGTCCTGAGATGTGGCCTGATTGTGATTGGTGGCAGCAGGTCAGAGAATTAGGTTTGATGTCCATCTCTTCCCATCCAATTTGAATATACAGTCAAATCCCGATGAGTCGAATCGCTGGGGACCAAGTAAAAGATTCGGCTTATCGATGTATTCGAGACATAGGTATGTCTATGAGGGTAGAAAAAAAAGATGATTCAATATTGAACAATTCCTTTATTCAGCATATCATATCTAAATATAGCACAACAATACATTAGGTGACAGAGACAATGAATAATGATGGATAATGGAAACAAATGAGAACACATTTCAATATTAGCACAATAACATATAAAATACATTTAGCTCTTAAAATCCATGAACAAAATCTATCGGCAATCGATAGATATACTTGTACATGCCGCCATCTTGAATCTTATGAATACAAAAAGATGAACTCACTTCTGGAAAAAGTCTGACATTAATGTTTGTTTCTGTGAATTTCCCTTACATTTATCCACAAATTCACGGACACTTGCCAAGTGGGAAATTCCTCCAGTCCTTCACAGAACTTTATCGCTTCCGATACGGATGGTGGTGGTTTGACGGCAGGGTGTGTCTCGTCTTGCGCTTCCGTTTTGGAGTTGATGTTTCCGATCTGGTCATCCCCCAAGATTGCTGGGAACATTGTACCTCCGCCATGATATACAGATCATGAATAGTAATAACCGAATGAAAGCTGCTATATAACGCAACCGATTTGATTGAGTTAACTCAATGTCATGTGCTAATTCTTCAGTTTCCGTAAAATCACTAATCTGCCTTTTGAACTCACCCGACAATAGCGGAAAGGTGCGAGCCGCGCTGGTTTGTTAATTGGATCAGTAACATGTAGTTGGATCACCAATTAACTTCTCATTGACTGACTTCGGCTTATGTATACAAGATTACTATTGTTTGAATCTCAAGGGACCAAATTTCCATTTCGAGTCATCGTGTGTATTTATGAGACGAATTCGTGTAACCGGAAATCAAATGATGACAAAAATAGCAGGGAATGGTCGGGACCGACAGGTACTTCGTGTTATGCATAATATTCGAGACACCCGGCATTCGACTCATCGGGATTTGACTGTATACCATATCAGTTAGGTGTCTCACAGTTTGTTATGGTGTAGTTTTGTAGTACTTTACGTACATTTAGTATTTTGATCTGCTGTATCCTAAACTCTGCTGTTCTCAGATACTGTGGCCATGATGTCTGGGTATGCAGATGTCATTGTGATTCGCCACCCAGAGCCAGGGGCTGTCAGTGTAAGTACCTCAAAGCTGCATCCCTTAGCAGGAGTTCAAAAATCGCATCGCCCGACGCCCGGGACAAGTCAGTTTTCATTTCGGGCAATCAAATAATGGTATCTTACTTGTCAGTGGGCTACTAGATAATTTCCACTTATGGTTTCAAACTGCAAATAAACTTTGATTTAATTTCATATCTGCTCAAAATGTAGCTTTTAAATTTCGCAATGATGATAAAGTAGAGTTATCTTTCTTTGCTATTTATCACTTTTCAATAAATAGTCCAGTAAACATTAACATCAAATACCATGTTGAATTATTCTTTTATAATAATAACATCATCATGATTATGTCATAAAATCAGGGCAAGTGGAAATTTGGTCAGGACAAGTTGCTTTCTTAAAGTCACTTGCCCTGTGGCAAGTGGCTTTTTAAAATAATTTTGAACCCCTGCTTAGTGAAAGTGAAAAAGTATCTTTAGGTACAATATGCATTTAGGAGTTTGTGGTTCAGTTCTGGTGGAGCCAAGTCTAATCACAAGATGGCCAGGAATAAATCTTTGGTCAAAACATCCATGCAGACGTAAGTTTTGTAATTGCTAGGCTTTTTTTTTCAACATCGGTTATCTGATTTACCTTTAACTCATGGCAGACTGCAGCAGGGGCAAGTCGGAAGCCGGTCATCAACGCTGGTGACGGGACTGGCGAACACCCAACACAAGCGCTGCTGGACGTCTTCACGATACGAGAAGAGATCGGAACTGTCAATGGACTCACAGTAAGCAGATCTGGCACTTTTTTACCATCCTGATTTTACCATCTTGAAAAATATCTCTAATTTCTGTGCATAGTACCAAGGTCATAGCACAGTGGTGATGTGACTTCTTACTGAAAAACAGTTCCCAAATACGCAGATCGATGCTCATGCTGTTGATCACTGGATTGTCTGGTCCAGGCTCGATTATTTACAGACTGCCGCCATATAGTTGGAATATTGCTGAGTGCGGTGTAAACCTAAACTCACTCACTCTTACTGAAAAATAGAATAAAACTAACAAGGGAGACCACTCTCCAGATCTTACACAAATTTTAAATTGTCTGTATACTGTTTTAGCTGTGTGTAGTCTTGCTAGTTCAAATTGAGATATGAAGTATTTTTATTTTGATATTTCATAACAATTTATGTATTTATTCGAAAGTTTAATGCAGCTGTTTACAGTCAGCTGTGAGGGGGTGGTACGGTAGCCCAGTGGTTAAAGCGTTGGCTCGTCTCGCCGAAGACCCTGGTTCCATTCCCCACATGGGTACAATGTATGAAGCACATTTCTGGTGTCCTCCACCATGATATTGCTGGAATATTGCTAAAAGCTGCATAAAATCATATTCACCCACTCACTTACAGTCAGCTGGGCTAACAAATGTTGGGAAAACGTATCTATGCATATAAAATAAGATTAAAAAAGGAATTAGGCTGTTTCATTTGAATTAACTTTGTCACATCATTTTTGACAGTAATTTCGATCTATGGTTTCATTTGAATTAACTTTGTCACATCATTTTTGACAGTAATTTCGATCTATGGTATCTGTATGTACGTGAGACAAGATGGAGAGAGATCACTTGAATGTGGTAAACAAATAACTCCCCACGAACATGCTTATTGCTAAATCATCTGAAGAGATCAGGTGGATGAAACAAGTGTAATTGCCCACATCATACCCCAGGATGTTGATCTATGTTTATGCTATCAACCTCTGGTTTGTCCCCACTTTATTATTAGACATAAATATTCCACTTAGAAACAACATTGAGCACATTTCTGCTTGACAGATTACTATGGTTGGGGACTTAAAGAACGGCCGCACTGTTCACTCCCTGGCCCGTCTGCTGACGTTGTACCGTGTCAACCTACGCTACGTGTCTCCGCCGTCCCTGCAGATGCCGGAGGACGTCCAACAGCTGGTTCGGTCACGTGGCATCAGACAGGTACTGTGTATATTACAGCAGGGCTCACAACTGATCGGTTTCGCTTGAGGTCCTCTCAATAATAATTATAATTGTTTCCATGCGTAACTATAGATCAGTGAACAACAACTGTTGTTTGATCCCTTCTGTGTGGCACAAAGTATTATAAGATCACGCAAATCATGTTTCTAATTGACTTGAAGTTTTCTAGCTACAGACACTTTTACATGACAATGTTCAGGAGAGTTTGGGGCACCGGGTTTCCGGATGTGACATGTAAAACACCCCTTACTTCTCGTGGGGAAATAGTTGATGAGGGGACACTTCACTGCCGATAGCGTCAGTCAGATCTCAGCTTGTCAGTGTAAGACCCATTGTTGAGATAGTAATCATAAGGGGCGGTGGGGTAGCCTTAGGGTTAAAGCGTTGGCTTGTCACGCCGAAGACCCGGGTTCGAATCCCCACGTGGGTACAATGTGTGAAGCCCATTTCTGGTGTCCCCTGCCGTGATGTTGCTGGAATATTGCTAAAAGCGGCGTAAAACCAAACTCAGTCAGTCAGTCAGTAATAATAAAGTGTAAAACTATCATGACACTCGGCATTTCCATATTATCAGACAATATCAATTAAAAATGAAATTAGAAATCCTCATTTGAAATAAGGGGGAAATTGGGGGGAAATAAATCAACATGATTTGAACTGAGAAAAATCGTCCCTATGTATGTAAGTGGACGTAGGGTGATACTTTTGCAAATCAGGGTCTGTTTCAGTGAGAAATGGTGGTGTGCGTGATTAATTGATCCCCAGAACATCTGGGAAGTTGTCTCCTGTCAACCTGAAATGTTAGTGTGTTAATAGCCACTGGTAAACCCTCTTATGTAACAGATTGTATTGAACTTCTGGGACGTGTTTGTTCGGAAATATTATTTCACATTTATTTTTTGATTTCCTGAATATTTTTGGAAATTCAGTGAAATTCAGTGCATTGTGAACATAAGTATTTTCCTTTATATGTCGTTTGCTTTAAGGCTATGTTTGTCTGTAGAGCTATTGAAAACACTGGCAGTATTTTGAATTGATTAAAACACAAATATGGATATTGACATTTTGTTGATTTCTTTAAGCCTTACGGGTATCAGGGATATGCAGGCAAGTTAATGTACAATGTGACATGGAGGGGCGTGGTTAATGTACAATGTGACATGGAGGGGCGTGGTTAATGTACAATGTGACATGGAGGGGCGTGAGCTCACACGTATGCAAGGAGAGAGTGAGAGTGAATTCTGGGAAACAGCCTGTTTAAGAGAGAATGCTACTTCTCCCTCTGCCTGACTTAGATTTGTGTCTATCACATGTATCATACACTTACACATGGTGGTCGCTGGTGGTCGCCGACTTGGTTGACACATGTCATCATTTGTGTAGATCGATGCTCATGATGTTGATCACTGGATTGTCTGGTCCAGACTTGATTATTTACAGACTGCCGCCATACAGCTGGAATATTGTTGAGTCTGGCATTAAACAATAAACAAACACATTGGTAGATGAGGGAGCGACCTTTTAAGATTCTGGGATGTAGGGGTGTTTGATTGTACTTGGGGCTAGAAACAGTATAGGTCCTTGTTGACCTTGTTTGTCTCAAGAAAGGAGGACATTGTGTGTCCCCAGCATTCATTCTTTGTAGTGGTGTTCCGATTAATTGAAATAATCGAAGATTGGTCGCAGTGACCAAATGACCAAGCAATCGATCACATTTTCTCATAATCGAACGTAAACAATTTTGGAACTACTGTTTTAGTCTTTGAAATACTTGACAATGGAACATATCGTTGAAGTGTCAGGGCCTGAAAACGTGTTTAATTCTTAGAAAACTCACTTCACTAACTGAAAAGGCATGACTGAATATTTCTTGAAGACTCCGGGAAGTTTATGTTCATGATATATTAGTCATCACTTTAAATTGGCAAGTTGCATCATGTTATACATATCTGCAATAACAACCTGGATAGGAAAATCTGAAAAATGACTCTAACCAATTTTTTTCGATGATTGTTCGTAGTGAATCAATCCTCAATTGTGAGATTTCAACCAATTCCCAACACTAATTCTTTGACGTAAGAGGGGACTAACTCAGGAGACCCACTGAGATTTAGTCTCAGGGCACCTCAAATAGTTGTGAGTGGTGACTGAATGGATGAGGTGATTGGGTCGATGGCATTTACCCTCATTGTACCCAGATTGTTCGTCACGCCGAAGACCCGGGTTCGATTCCCCACATGGGCACAATGTGTTAAGCCCATTTCTGGTGTCCCCCGCCGTGATATTGCTGGAATATTGCTAAAAGCGGCGTAAAACTAAACTCAGTCAGTCAGTACCCCGGATTCGGTTCCCCACATGGTTACAATTTATCACTGATTTGTCTGGTCCTGTAATTTTTACAATCCACTGTCATATGGCTGGAAATGTCATGTGTGTAATGTCAAACATTGTGTGAATTGAAAGAAAAGTTCTGCCTTTGCCCACGGCATAGAATTGATCCTGTTTGTCTCGGTGTTTAGTTGAGGTAAAATGTTGAATGTGCTGGTGAATTCCTCGTGAACACCTGGTCCACAGATACAGCAGATGGATGGAGCCCACTTACACCAATGTTACTCAGTGTATGTTGTTCCGTCTATTTCCTTCAGAGAATCCATACTGGAAGCTGCAGAGTGCAGTACACAGCACATGTGAGATCTCGTGCATAATTAACCGCAATAACAAATGTATAGATGTAATTTACATCACATTTAATATGCAACGAGGGAGAGAACTGTGTGTTGGTGTCATTGACATTGTCTTTGGAATGTTTGTTTGGGTGGGGTTGTTTTTTGTCTAACACTGCACTTAGCAGTTCTCTATCTATATAAAGGTGGTCTCCATATACAGTAACACAGAATTTTGTCGAAGTTGAAGGGATTTACGTGTAGTTCGACACACTGAAAAATGTGAATTAAGAAGAAATATCCTAGAACCAAGCTTTCAGTTCAAAGCATTTGATACATCAAAGATGACCTGTAATTGATACTGGATCAGGCAGTCCAGTGATTGACGTCATGAGCATCAGTTGGGATAGGATGACATGCATCTAATAGTCAGATGATTGCTGTGACTGACAGTGAATGATTAGTATGATTGACAGCATTTGTTTGGGATGATTGACAGTAAGTGTTTGATATGACTGTTATGTATGATTGACTGGAAATGTGTGGCATTATTGCCAGCATATGTCTGGTATGATTGACAGTGAATATTTGACAGCACATGCTTAGTTTGATTGATAGTGAATGCTTGATGTTTGACAGCACATGCTTAGTTTGATTGACAGTGAATGTTTGGCATGTTTGACAGTGAATGTTTGGCATGTTTGACAGCACATGCTTAGTTTGATTGACAGTGAATGTTTGACAGCACATGCTTAGTTTGATTGGCATGTTTAACCTTTGATTCACAGTGAATGTTTGACAGCACATGCTTAGTTTGATTGACAGTGAATGTTTGGCATGTTTGACAGTGAATGTTTGGCATGTTTGACAGCACATGCTTAGTTTGATTGGCATGTTTGACGTTTGATTCACAGTGAATGTTTGGCATGTTTGACATTTGATTCACAGAGAATGTTTGACATTTGATTCACAGTGAATGTTTGACATTTGATTCACAGTGAATGTTCGCATGATTGATGGTATTTGTTTAGTATGATTGACATAATGACTGGCAGGATTTGAAGTATATGTCTGGTATGACTGTCAGCATATGTTTGGTATGACTGTCAGCATATGTTTGGTATGACTGTCAGCATATGTTTGGTATGACTGTCAGCATATGTTTGGTATGATAAGTGAAGTAAACATGAACGGTCATGTAAATCCAAACTTCACCTCACCTATCCAAGTATATTATTTGATTCTGACAAGAAGATATGTGGAATGGCAATAACTTTATTTAAACCCTGAATCCTGTAAGAGATGTGAAGAAGGTTTGTGATCAGCATGGTGTCGTATTGTAAATGGCCAGGTATTTGGGCGAGTGAGAATGGTTTTTCGCCTCTTTTAGCAATATTTCAGCAATATCACGGTGGGGACACCAGAAATGGGCTTCACACATTGTTCCGATGTGGGGAATCAAACCTGGGTCTTCGGCGTGACGAGTTGACTCTTTACCATTAGACTATAGTTTGGTTTGGAAGGGTTATCAGGTGTCTTAATCCATTAGTTTAGTGACTACCTTGATTGCCTATCACTGTACGTGATGGTCTGTGCTCACAATATCAATCCCCTGATTCGCTGAGCCTGACTCGTTGTTTTACAGAATCTTTCTTGTACACGTGGGGTGATGGGGTGGCCTAATGGTTGAAATGTCCGCCCGGGTTCGATTACCCACATGGGTACAATGTATGTACTATGTGTGAAGCCCATTTCTGGTGATATTGCTGGAATATATAGTGGTGTAGTACCATACTCACTCACTCACACTCACACTCACACTCACACTCACTCACTCACTCACTCACTCACTCACTCACTCACTCCTTGTACACAGCAGCTGGAATATTGCTGAGTGCAGCGTTTAACAAAAAGATGACATTACAGGTATACATATTTCAAGTGAGCTGCAGAGCCATGTTCAAGCCTAGATGTTTACTAGCCTAGATGTTTACTAGCCTAGATGTTTACTAGCCTAGATGTTTACTAGCCTAGATGTTTACTAGTCATTCAATCGGGCAACAGAATCAGAACAGCACACCCTCAGGAATGCCAAGATTGGGGGCAATGCAGATATTATGTTTGTGTTTCTGAAAGATTTACTAACTCAAGAAACAGGTGCTTCTTTTGTTAACTGTTTTATTTCTCTGCTAGGAGGTGTTTAATTCCCTGGAAGAGGCCTTGTCGGACACGGATGTTCTTTACATGACACGGATACAAAAAGAGAGGTTCACGTCCCTTCAAGAATACGAACAGGTAACCCGACTATTATTTCATTTGTTGGTATCAGATTTTATTGTTTTTCTGTCCTTATTGTTTTTCTGTATTAAATTTCAAGCTTAAGGATATTGATAGAATCTGGTTCATGGACAGTTGTCTGGATGTCTTACTCGAGTTTGTTTACAGCATCATTTGGGTAAGGAACTGTTAGTGACTGGTTGTCTTGAAGCCAGAATCATGACGTTATCTTTGTCATATTAACATTCATGGTTATGTTCAGTTCATGATTTTTAAGGGTGATGTGATTTTAATCAGTGGCCTATTTTGACAAGTCATTTCATTGTAATCGAGTAAATAGATTGTCCCGAAGTGTGATTGGTCGACCTCCAAGATCGATCAGTCTGTCAAGGTATTCGAAAGATTGATCAAGTTCTTTGAATAAAGGTATCTTGTATGTGACATGACCCCTTTCTTGGAATTCCTGCTTCGTGGGTCAGAGACACACGTTTTGTATCATGCAATGCCCCAGGCAGTGACGTTGTTTAGCTCACCTGAACTGACTGATAAGGATGTTTACTTCACCTGAACCATGTAATAAGTTAAGCTCGAATGAATCAGCAGGATGGGTTTAGCTCACCTGGACCATATGATACTAAGAGGTTTAGCTCACCTGGACCATCTGATACTAAGAGGTTTAGCTCACCTGGACCATCTGATACTAAGAGGTTTAGCTCACCTGAACCATTGGTTAACCATAAGGTTAGCTCACCTGAACCATCAGATAACCATGAGGTTAGCTCACCTGAACCATCAGATAACCATAAGGTTAGCCCACCTGAACCATTGGATAACCATGAGGTTAGCTCACCTGAACCATTGGATAACCATGAGGTTAGCTCACCTGAACCATGGGATAACCATGAGGTTAGCTCACCTGAACCATCAGATAACCATAAGGTTAGCTCACCTGAACCATGGGATAACCATGAGGTTAGCTCACCTGAACCATCAGATAACCATAAGCTTAGCTCATCTGAATCATGAGATAACCTTAAGATTTAAACTGCCTCGGTGGTGTAGTGGTTAGAGCGTCCGTCCGGAGAGTGGAAGGTCGCGGGTTCGATCCCCAACCGCGTCAAGCCAAAATACGTTAAAATATGGTACTTGTTGGTCCCTGCCTGGCGCTCGGCATTAATGGGTACAACAAGGACTGGTCGGCTCGGAGACAGTATAATGTGTCTGAGTGGGGTATTCATGCTTCACTGTGGCATGGTATATCAGTGGACTAGCACTATAAAACCAGCTTAAGTCTGGGCTAGTACAAGCAGCCGCACATACACATCCACAAGCATGCACGTCGTCATATGAGCGAAATATTCTCAAGCACGACGTTAAACCCAATTTCACCTCTCGACTGAACCATCAGATAACCTTAAGGTTAGCTCACCTGAATCATCAGATAACCATAAGGTTAACTCACCTGACCCATGGGATAACCATAAGATTAGCTCACCTGAACCATGGGATGACCATAAGGTTAGCTCACCTGACCCATTGGTTAACCATAAGGTTAGCTCATCTGAACCATTGGATAACCATAAGGTTAGCTCATCCAAACCATCAGATAACCATAAGGTTAGCTCACCTGAACCATCAGATAACGATAAGGTTAGCTCACCTGACCCATGGGATAACCATAAGGTTAGCTCACCTCAACCATTGGATAACCATAAGGTTAGCTCATCCGAACCATCAGATAACCATATGGTTAGCTCACCTGAACCATCAGATAACCATGAGGTTAGCTCACCTGAACCATCAGATAACCATGAGGTTAGCTCACCTGAACCATGGGATAACTATGAGGTTAGCTCACCTGAACCATCAGATAACCATAAGGTTAACTCACCTGAACCATGGGATAACCATGAGGTTAGCTCACCTGAACCATGGGATAACCATGAGGTTAGCTCACCTGAACCATCAGATAACCATTAAAGGTTGAAATTCTTCACATGAACCTTTGGATTAGAAGTTTAGCTCACATGTATTGGTATTTTGGGGCTCTTCCACAACAATGGGAATAAAAATACATGGGTTATATGAAACAAATATTTAAATGTTACAACTCATGTAAATGTTTACTTTTGTTGAGTCATTGGTTACCATTTTAATAAAGCTGGTTTTCTGTTAACATGGCTGACAAGTTCTGTTTGAAAATATGTTTGTTTAAACTTGTTTACATAGCATTTAGTTTTCTCGGGGATAGTTATTTTTTTCACAACACTGTTCTTTTCATGACAGCCATCATGTCCCGTTGAGTTTTGTATCAACTCAGTTTCTTCGTACATACCTTGCAAATAGTTCAGGAAAATATTTTCTAGGCTTGCTTCAAATTATCTTCTATCTTCATGAAAGATCACATAGGCAAACATATTTTAAAGTGAGTTTATGAGTATTAGTCTCTCATTTACATCACCTGTTTCAGAGAGTTTATTTTGTAATTGCTGCAAGTGTTTTCAGCATTCTTATGATCTCCTGTATCCAAATTACAGTCAGGGAGGTGAGCTACGGGCCACGATTTCTCAAAACAAACATAACTTACAAGATTCTCTGCAAAAGTTCAGCTAATTCTTTACGGAGAACATCTATCTGTTTATGTGAGCAGCATTGGCGCGGAATTTGACATCCATTTCTCATGCGAAAATATTGAAGATGTTAGTACCTTTTGTCGTCTGCTGATTTCCCCTCGATGACTGACAATATGGACTGAAGAAGAGAGACAGTTGTACCTTATGACCATGTCAACAAAATTCAAGATCGTCTGTTCAGAATGTGTGGAATTCAAACTGAAGCAAGAATTAACTAATGAGATCTTAAAGGAGAGATAATGGAGGCCCAAAGTAAGTAGTCTCTGTACCAGTTGTTAGACATCTTGCTTGTACCAAGTTATTCATATCGACCTATTCATGGCTCCTTCAATACCATACTATGAAGCAAACGAATACTTTATTTTCAAGAGACCAAACTGGTGCTGCGCAGTGTAATGTGTCAATTACACTGAAAACATCTTAAATTCGAATAGTGTCAGAGTTTAGATAGGCCAGACCAATTTTATTTCTTGTTTACGGATCCGCAGGTCGTATTTTTTCATGTTTTATTGGCCAAAAATGTAAAATTTACAAGAAACTTCTTTTTAGATTGCTTTTTGCCCAATATACAGTTCATAAACTGCCAAAAGTTAAATTCTTTTAGTTTTTAAAAGGAATATTACTTTGGTGATTTCTTTTTCTTTTTTTCTTTTTTTTTTCTCCTGCCTTAGGTTTTCTGAGGACAAAAATTCGTAAAACAAGAAATGAAATTGGTCTGGCCTAAGTGTCGTTTAAACAGATAGCAAAGAGGGAGAATAGTTACCAATGTCTTAGATAAGGAAGTATTCCAGCATGTTAGAGAATGCCACAGAACATTGACTGAATCATAAGTATGAGAATTAAGATTAAGTTAAAATAAAAACTTGGGTACTAATTTTGTTATTGTGATTGAATGTCACAATTCAACAATGATAATGAATGCAGTAAATGCTCTATAGCTATCCATGTTACTTGGAGTTAACATTTAGAACAATGATACAATATTGGACATACTACTTCCCCTATATACTTATGTCAATCTCGTGCTTCATATTTACAAACTGAGATTTAATGTCGTACATTATCTAAAGATTGATTTTATTGTCACTAAAATGAAATATGATCAACAAGCATCTCTGGCAATGCATTCTGTAAACCAAAATATTGCACCTGACAAAGGAGGCCAAAACGTTTATATTATGTAGTTATTGAAAAATACATACAATCAATTTCCTGTTTCTGCATTGATCAGCAGCAGCTTGGTTAAGTAATGCAAGGGAGTGGAGAAACCTTCGCATCTGAAACCTTCATGCATAGTCATTTATATTGATTTAGCAACAAGGTAAGACATAATATAATAGAATGTGCTGAAGCTTATTAGGAATATTATTCATGTTCACCAATTTCCTGTCAGAAATTGAAAAATGTCTCATCAGTTCTGTAACTATCACTGTAAACAATGTTATGTTTCTATTCTTAGCTTTTTGGGGGGACTGCAATGTTTATCAGAGGAAAAATTAGTTTCTTCATGATTTGTCCAAACTTCAGTGGGGATGTTAGCTTCTCAGGATCCTTGAGTCTTTGCATCTTGGGACACTTGGATCTTGGGATCCTGGGATCTTTGCATCATGGCATTCTGGGATCTTTGCATCCTGGGATCATGGCACTTTGGGATCCTTGCATCATGGCTTCTTGGGATCCTTGGATCTTGGCATCCTTGCATCATGGCATCTTGGGAACCTTGCATCATGGTATCTTGGGATCCTTGCATCATGGCATGTTGGGATCCTTGCATCATGGCATCTTGGGATCCTGGCATGTTGGGATCCTTGCATCATGGCATCTTGGGATCCTTGGATCTTGGCATCCTTGCATCATGGCATCTTGGGAACCTTTAATGGTATCTTGGGATCCTTGCATCATGGCATGTTGGGATCCTTGCATCATGGCATCTTGGGATCCTGGCATCTTGGCATGTTGGGATCCTTGCATCATGGCATCTTGGGATCCTGGCATGTTGGGATCCTTGCATCATGGCATCTTGGGATCCTTGGATCCTGGCATCCTTGCATCATGGCTTCTTGGGATCCTTGGATCTTGGCATCCTTGCATCATGGCATCTTGGGAACCTTGCATCATGGTATCTTGGCATCCTTGCATCATGGCATCTTGGGATCCTTGCATCATGGCATCTTGGGATCCTTGCATCATGGCATCTTGGGATCCTGGCATCTTGGGATCCTTGCATCATGGCATCTTGGGATCCTTGGATCTTGGCATCCTTGCATCATGGCATCTTGTGAACCTTGCATCATGGTATCTTGGGATCCTTGCATCATGGCATGTTGGGATCCTTGCATCATGGCATCTTGGGATCCTGGCATCTTGGCATGTTGGGATCCTTGC